GCGTGGCAGTTCCTTAGCTTATTTGGCTGTGCGTCACAACCGTTTTGGGATACCATTTTGGCGTAGGTGCACCACCCATTGTGGAACCTATCTTAGTGGATTGGGATGTTCACTGGAGGTACGGGCTTTTGACACATGGCCGTTTGGTTTCCGTGATGGAAAAGTATTGGGCATGCATGAGACGCATCTGAAGTGACGTGACTTTGTCTCTACTGTTGTCAATCGCCTTCCTGACTTGAACGAGCCATGCCGCTAGTGTAGGGTTTTCAGCCGGTCTTTTGAAAGCTCTCCTTCGAGGTTTTCGTGCTGTCTAGTCCCGTGCCTCTGTCTTCGGGAGCCGTCTTTGACCAGAAATGCCAGTCAATGGGAGGTAGACTCTGAGATTGACCACTGAAGCCCCTCTTCGAGCGGTGGCGAGCCCTCTAATCGAATATTGTTGACCCAGGATGAGTAAACCCGTCCCATTATTAGGGGGGTGTTTTTTTTCGAAAGTGATGAATTCCCACTGAAAGGGGACACCCTTTTATCAAAATCAATCAGGGGTTCTGCTTAATCCGGGGTTAACATTAGGGACTTTCTCGGCCTGCTTTTGGGCACCTTTGTCGGGTCTCCTCCCACCACTTTTCTCCAACCCTTTGATCCAACCGGGGTTCTACTGAGATCCGGGGGTCAACAGTAGGGGTCATTTGTGGAGCCGAGCGCTTTTTGGCTCAAGGGGAGAGGCATCGACTAGTGATGGCGCTGATCCCGAAGCTGACGATCCCCACGCGCCGCGGCCGAAAAGGAAGAAGGGCTCATCTTCCCCAGTTTTTTCTTTTTTCGCTTTTTGGGGTCCCCTTTGCTTTCCACTAATCAGGCAAAAAACTATTGTTTGCTGCGGTCCTCATTCCAGCCAAGTCATGTTCTTTTTCTCCCTGCCTGTTTGTTTAGTGCACGAGTGGGGAGGCAAGCCTTCACGCATTGTCTGAAGGCACTGCCACTAGGTTTCTACCTGAGTTTGGGGAGATCAAGATACAAGCCCGTTCTGGGCATCAAGTGTTTCACCGAAGCCCAAGACGCGCAGAACTCAGAGTGGCATTGCTTTGGACGGGTTCATTTCTGACGCCTCAGCCAGGACTGCGGCGCCCTCACCGAAGATGCGAACGCCGGAGCCGCTTGGCTGCGCGAGTTCGCGGCAGGCGAGTCACTTGCTGAAAACCGATTCGGGTAGACGGGTAGATGGAGGTGAGCAAGGGCCACTCCCCTTGCCATAAATCGCTGCGGATCTCCGGCTTCATTCTTGAAGCATGGTTCTGGGTGAACCATTTTTCTACCGGGTTTTGAGTATGACTCAGGTCGGGTTCCGGGGTTGGACTAGAGAGGACCTGTTGGCCCGCAATGTGGGTGCTGCCTGGTCTTTTGCCATCACTCGCCCGGGGGGGGGGGTATTTTGGTCTGAAATACGTGTTCCTGTACGCATTTGGCTGTGGCTCAAACTTAAACAGGGGCAAACCGCGGGTTTTGGTCCAGGTTTCCACTTACCAGGGCAACCCATTTTGGTACCGGTTTTTTGAGCAACATCCATTTCGATTTGTTCATGCTTGGACCTGCATTGATGCTGAGGCATTCTTAGAGCATGCTGGCACCCCATGCTCAATGCTCTGGCTTGCTCCCCGGCTCAAGCAGCATGCTCCCTCCTTAGACTGGCCGTCGTTGGCGGATTCTTGTACCCCACTCTGGCTGTTTGTCCTGTTTGTTCATGAAGAGCTACCACACTGTGGCTTTGAAGCGCCAGAAACGAAGCGTTGTGCAACAGTTGGAGGGTCTCACAGCGCATCGGTGGAGCAAGGCTTGGCAATACATCAAGGCGCCCAAGAGGCTTGGCGCCGTGCCAACCAACCCCCGCCATCCACCCACGGAGCGCTCACTCCCAGCAACCTCCAGAAGCTGACACTGACAGCCTTGCTTCTCGGCCTGTCCGGCCGCTCGGTGCCTCGATGCATGGCTTCAAGCGCCTGTGGCTGCCGCTGCTGCTGTCTTCGCCGCTCTGGGGCTTTGCTGGCCCTTGGCGCCGCGAGAACTCCACGCGCCTCCCGGGCAGCGGCGCCGCCCTCCGCGCTGCGCGGGACGCGCGCGCGGCGAGCCGGCCGGAGCTGCCGAACTCAACGGAGGTGATGTGTAGACAGGCGCGAGTCTTTTTTTTGGAACTGCCGCAACCTTTGTGCCAGCTGGTGGGGCCGTTTTGCCTTTCCATGTCCCAAATCCGAGCACCCGTCCAACAAAGTTGCAAGTAGACCAGCTTGGAAGCTGTTTCAGATACATCGTCCTTGCAACTAGGGCACCCACCCGGAGGTCCCAGCTATGCCATTAGATCAACTTGGTGCGGGCACTGCATGGCGCTGCCAGGGATTTTGGAATAGTTCCAGTTTCACTTGAGTTGCAGAAGCTGATGCCGGGCTGATGCCGGTTTTTTGCAGAGTCACAGCCGTGGGCGCTCAGGCCGCCGACGCAGTGATGCGGGCCTACCGTGATGGCTTCACACGCCAAGCAGTGCGGCTCCGGCTGGATGCGGCCTACGAGGGCCAGGCAAGGGGAAGGGCAAAGGGTATGCATGGGGATTTGGGGTCATGAGCGAGTTTTGTTTGGTTTTTTTCAATGTAAAAAGCCCAACACCCTTAAGGGTGTTTTAGGTGTTGGTTGTCCCCGAGTGTTCTTTTTGGATGAAAAAAAGCTGCGCGCGGCAGGGGCCGCTCATCAGCACCCTCAAAACTCGGCGTGTTCGATGACTCAATCTGAGCCGCAAGGTTGCCGCACATGTTCCCCCCAATGCATATGGTCCCCTGATGATAAAAACAAGGTTCCCTGAGAAAAAGCCATGTTCACCCGGGTTTGGAGGTCCCAACAGGAACCCGCTTCGGGAAGACAAAAATACATGGAGCGGCTATTCTGACATTTTTAGTTGGATTCGTTGTTTGGGATTGGAATTTGAAAGGCGACAGCAAGAATTCAATTTTGCACATGACATTTGCAACGCTGCAAGTTTAAGATTCTAGGCGCTTTGCAAACGCCCCAAATACGACCGCAGTTGGGGTCGACGGGACAAGTGTTGCTTCAGTATTGGTTAGGCCGTCACGTATATCGATAGGGGCATTTATTGAGGGGAGGCGATCATCCTCAATTGAACCTTTGGCGTGGCCCAGTATTCCAGGGATGGCCACTTAGAGTCGTTGCATAGTTATGCAAATCAACATGCCCACAACACTTCTCCAGCAACTGGGTCACGAAGAAACGCTTTGTTGGTATCATGGACTTGCCCAAACCTTCAATGCGCACATGGACCTTAGAAACACACGGCTACTTGCACGAAGCCTTGCCAGGTTCCACGTTTTCGCCTCAGTCCGCAGTGCACTTGAACGTCGTTCTTTGGTGGGAGTGCTTTGCCGGTGGCTCCTTGCGGGTGGCAAGCAAGTGTTAGATTCCTCAAGTGATAAGTGATATACGATGTACCTTTCTGGGTTCTTCTGGACGCGAGAGGAGCACTAGCCGTGGAAGACATGACTCATACTATTTCGCTGTTTTTCCCACTTGACCCGTGGCTTCTACCCCCCCCCTCTCTTCCCCCCTCTGCCCATGGGCGGGTTGCCACTTGTTCTACGGGGTCCTACCCATGAAAAACGCCGCGCCTCGCCCAGCTCCCATCCCCCCCTTTCGTGGCTGTGGGTCAAAAAAGGGGTACCCAAAATGGAACCCTGGTACCCAAAATGGAACCCTGGCAAATGGAAGCAAAGACTCAAACCTGCGTAACCCTACAGTACCTCTTCAGACCCTTTCGACCCTTTGGACCAAAAATTCTCTCCCCCGTCGCTTCAAAGCGCGCGCGTGCGAGGATGACCTGCGGGCCCTGCTGAAGGCCACGCTGCCCCTGGCCAAGAGCTTCGCCACGAAGCTCTGGGCCGGTGCGCCTCGGCCCGGAGAGTCCGAGCGGGGGCGAGTCCTTTGGCGGGGCCGAGTCGGGGCCGAGGCGGTCCACAGCTCGTCAGGCGGTTTTTTCGGGACGCCGATTCTGCGGGTGTTGGGGATACATATTTACAAAAAGGGAAAAAGAAACACGAGCTGCTTAAAAATGGCAAGATGTGGGTTGGTTCCATGGCCCAAGTGCGGAGCTTGCAGGCTTCAGTGCCTGTTTTGGCCTTGCAAAGCTCCAAAGGCGGCCGGGTGGCGCTGTGACATGAGCCGAGCCAAGTTTCTCGGGGCGAGCCCTGCGAGTGAGGACTACCTTCGCGGTGTCAAGACCTCCTTGGTTGACGAGGACGTCACGACCCTCCTGTACAGCCGCTGGGCATTCGGGCACATTTTTCTTTGGGATCGACGAAAGTGCCCGAGGTTTTCCTCCATCAAAACGCACATGTTGTGAGTAGACGATGGGAACGCACACCTTGCTTTATGGCGAGATTTGGCACCGGACCTTTGGACTTCAACGGTTTTGGTGGAACATGGTGGGATTTTCCGAGTTGGACCCACAAAAAGTGATAAGCTTTTTGCAGAGAGGGGCCAAGAGCAAGCAAAGCGGGGAAGGCCTCGGTGTTCTTTTTCTTTTTTTGCCCAGAGCCCAAGGAGAAGCTGACACCGCGCTTATGGATGCGGCCGTTCTGTACTTGCCGTCCAGAGAGGCGCGCGCGTTCGCGTTTCGCACGCGCTCGCGCCCTTTTTTTCTTGTTTTCTTTCCTTTTTTCAGATTCCGTGACTCGAGCACTGGAGGCTAGACGCATTCTGCAGGCGATTGCTCTGCTTTGCTTGCGGGTTCTCAGCAGGGAATGAGTTGGAATGACCCCGAGAACAACTATCCTCTATGGTTTCCTTTAAGGGAATCCCTGGGTTCATTCCCAAACCGCGGGTCATTCCCTGCTGAGCACCAGACAGTTTTGCCATGTCGCCTTGCGCTCCCCAATCGCCAGCCCACACCAGCCACATGACTAGATTAATCACAGGGAAGAGGGGCATGCGCATGGTCTAAAGACTAAAGATGCCTTGGTGTCCGAATTCTGGCTTGGATGCTGGGCACGCCTACCAGGTCATTGCCTCTCCCAAGTTCTGGAAGTTCTTTCAGAGCACCTTGCCTCAGTTTGGTGCTTCTTTCCTTCGCTGCGCTGCCACTTGCCCACTTGCCCAAAAAGAGGCAGGTCCATAGGTGTCCATTTTGGTCGTTTTGGTCGAAAAGTAGATGGCGAGTCCTGGCAAAACAACGTGGTGGTACCAGGGGAACCCATCTATTTGCGCTAAAAAAGGGCGCCTATGGGCAAAAGGACGCCCCAAACAGGCGGGTCCGGTCGCTGCGGCATCCCAGGCATGGGCGACCGGCTGGTGGTGGTCGCCAACACCGAGAGCGCGGCGGCCTCCTGGCGCGTGGAGAACCGGGGCGCGGACTTCGGCAGCAAACTGGGGCTGGAGCTGTGCAAACTCTTCCGGCAGCAGAGCTACTACTACCAGCTGGTGCCCATCAACAACTGGCAGGCAGAGATTTTTTGGGACCACTTTTCTGGGGGTGCGAAGAACTTTTGGGGGTGCTGCAAAGCCCCAACAGTGGCAAAGGGGATGCAGGCAGAGTTTTCGAATACTTCTGGGGGTGCTGCAAAGCCCCAACAGTGGCAAAGGGGATGCAGGCAGAGTTTTCGAATACTTCTGGGGGTGCTGCAAAGCCCCAACAGTGGCAAAGGGGATGCAGGCAGAGTTTTCGAATACTTCTGGGGGTGCTGCAAAGCCCCAACAGTGGCAAAGGGGATGCAGGGGATGCAGGCAGAGTTTTCGAATACTTCTGGGGGTGCTGCAAAGCCCCAACAGTGGCAAAGGGGATGCAGGCAGAGTTTTCGAATACTTCTGGGGGTGCTGCAAAGCCCCAACAGTGGCAAAGGGGATGCAGGCAGAGTTTTCGAATACTTCTGGGGGTGCTGCAAAGCCCCAACAGTGGCAAAGGGGATGCAGGCAGAGTTTTCGAATACTTCTGGGGGTGCTGCAAAGCCCCAACAGTGGCAAAGGGGATGCAGGCAGAGTTTTCGAATACTTCTGGGGGTGCTGCAAAGCCCCAACAGTGGCAAAGGGGATGCAGGCAGAGTTTTCGAATACTTCTGGGGGTGCTGCAAAGCCCCAACAGTGGCAAAGGGGATGCAGGCAGAGTTTTCGAATACTTCTGGGGGTGCTGCAAAGCCCCAACAGTGGCAAAGGGGATGCAGGCAGAGTTTTCGAACACTTCTGAGGGTGCTGCAAAGCCCCAAGAGTGGCAAAGGGGATGCAGGCAGAGTTTTCGAATACTTCTGGGGGTGCTGCAAAGCCCCAACAGTGGCAAAGGGGATGCAGGCAGAGTTTTCGAATACTTCTGGGGGTGCTGCAAAGCCCCAACAGTGGCAAAGGGGATGCAGGCAGAGTTTTCGAATACTTCTGGGGGTGCTGCAAAGCCCCAACAGTGGTAAAGGGGATGCAGGCAGAGTTTTCGAATACTTCTGGGGGTGCTGCAAAGCCCCAACAGTGGCAAAGGGGATGCAGGCAGAGTTTTCGAATACTTCTGGGGGGAGGTGCTGGGCCCAGTGGCAAAGGGATGCAGGCAGAGTTTTCGAATACTTCTGGGGGCCCCAACAGTGGCAAAGGGAATGCAAGGCAGAGTTTTCGAACACTTTCTGGGGGTGCTGCAAAAGCCCCAACAGGTGGCAAAGGGATGCAGGCAAGTTTCTCGAATACTTCTGGGTTGCTCTGCAAAGCCCAACAATGGCAAAGGGTTGCAGCCGAGTATTTCGAATACTTCTGGGGTGCTGCAAAGCCCCACATGGCAAAGGGGATCAGGCAGAGTTTCGATACTTCTGGGGGTGCTGTACAAAGCCCCAACAGTGCAAAGGGGATGCAGGGCAGAGTTTTCGAACACTTTCTGGGTGCTGCACAAGCCCCAACAGTGGCAAAGGGGATGCAGGCAGAGTTTTCGAATATTCAGGGGGTGCTGCAAAGCCCCAAACAGTGGCAAAGGGGATGCAGGCAGAGTTTTTCGAATACTTTTGTGGGGGTGCTGCAAAGCCCCAACAGTGGCAAAGGGGATGCAGGCAGAGTTTTCGAATACTTCTGGGGGTGCTGCAAAGCCCCAACAGTGGCAAAGGGGATGCATGCAGAGTTTTCGAATACTTCTGGGGGTGCTGCAAAGCCCCAACAGTGGCAAAGGGGATGCAGGCAGAGTTTTCGAATACTTCTGGGGGTGCTGCAAAGCCCCAACAGTGGCAAAGGGGATGCAGGCAGAGTTTTCGAATAATTCTGGGGGTGCTGCAAACAAAGCCCCAACAAGTGGCAAAGGGGATCAGGCAGAGTTTTTTCGAACACGTTATTCTGGGTGCTGCAAAGCCCAACAAGTGGCAAAGGGGATGCAGCAGAGTTTTTTTTCGAATACTTCTGGGGGGTGCTGCAAAGCCCCAACAGTGGCAAAGGGGATGCAGGCAGCAAGTTTACGAAACACTTCTGGGGTGCTGCAAAGCCCCAACAGTGGCAAGGGAAGCAGGCAGAGGTTTCGAACTTCTGGGGGTGCTGCAAAGCCCCAACAGTGGCAAAGGGGATGCAGGCAGAGTTTTCGAACACTTTTCGGGGTGCTGCAAAGCCCCAACAGTGGCAAAGGGGATGCAGGCAGAGTTTTCGAACACTTTTGAGGGTGCTGCAAAGCCCCAACAGTGGTAAAGGGGATGCCGGCAGAGTTTTCGAACACTTGTGGGGTGCTGCAAAGGTGGGCGATTCTTGGGGCACAAAATGGGCAAGGGACGCAGGCAGAACCAGCGGATCGTTCAAAGAGGCGGTTTTCGAAAACTTTTTGGGGGTGCTGCAAAGCCCCAACATGGGCAAAGGGGATGCAGGCAGAGTTTTCGAACAGGTGCTGCAAAGGTGGGCGTTTTTTTGGGAGTGCTGCAAAGCCCCAAAGTGGGCAAGGGGGATGCAGGCAGAACCAGCGGATCGTTCAAAGAGGCGGTTTCGAAAAACTTTTTGGGGGTGCTGCAAAGCCCCAACATGGGCAAAGGGGATGCAGGCAGAGTTTTCGAACACTTTTGGGGTGCTGCAAAGGTGGGCGTTTTTTTGGGAGTGCTGCAAATCCCCAAAGTGGGCAAGGGGGATGCAGGCAGAACCAGCGGATCGTTCAAAGAGGCGGTTTTCGAAACCTTTTTGGGGGTGCTGCAAAGCCCCAACATGGGCAAAGGGGATGCAGGCAGAGTTTTCGAACACTTTTGGGGTGCTGCAAAGGTGGGCGTTTTTTTGGGAGTGCTGCAAAGCCCCAAAGTGGGCAAGGGGGATGCAGGCAGAACCAGCGGATCGTTCAAAGAGGCGGTTTTCGAAAACTTTTTGGGGGTGCTGCAAAGCCCCAACATGGGCAAAGGGGATGCAGGCAGAGTTTTCGAACACTTTTGGGGTGCTGCAAAGGTGGGCGTTTTTTTGGGAGTGCTGCAAAGCCCCAAAGTGGGCAAGGGGGATGCAGGCAGAACCAGCGGATCGTTCAAAGAGGCGGTTTTCGAAAACTTTTTGGGGGTGCTGCAAAGCCCCAACATGGGCAAAGGGGATGCAGGCAGAGTTTTCGAACACTTTTGGGGTGCTGCAAAGGTGGGCGTTTTTTTGGGAGTGCTGCAAGGCCCCAAAGTGGGCAAGGGGGATGCAGGCAGAACCAGCGGATCGTTCAAAGAGGCGGTTTTCGAAAACTTTTTGGGGGTGCTGCAAAGCCCCAACATGGGCAAAGGGGATGCAGGCAGAGTTTTCGAACACTTTTGGGGTGCTGCAAAGGTGGGCGTTTTTTTGGGAGTGCTGCAAAGCCCCAAAGTGGGCAAGGGGGATGCAGGCAGAACCAGCGGATCGTTCAAAGAGGCGGTTTTCGAAAACTTTTTGGGGGTGCTGCAAAGCCCCAACATGGGCAAAGGGGATGCAGGCAGAGTTTTCGAACACTTTTGGGGTGCTGCAAAGGTGGGCGTTTTTTTGGGAGTGCTGCAAAGCCCCAAAGTGGGCAAGGGGGATGCAGGCGAAAACTTTTTGGGGGTGCTGCAAAGCCCCAACATGGGCAAAGGGGATGCAGGCAGAGCCTTCGAACACTTTTGGGGTGCTGCAAAGGTGGGCGTTTTTTTGGGAGTGCTGCAAAGCCCCAAAGTGGGCAAGGGGGATGCAGGCAGAACCAGCGGATCGTTCAAAGATTGAAGCATTTGTTCCAAGCAAGCGGATTTGTTCGACTCAGTGTCAAGTGTGCATGGAGTTGTGGAGGAGATGGAACAGGGGCTCAAAACGACATAGCCTCAAGGCTTGTGAAACAGATCCAGCAGGGTAGCACCTGTGCCTTGATGCCCCTGTTGAGTTGCATGCGGCCCGGCAAGGGCTTGCTTGCTTGCGAACTAGCCCGAACCTCGGAAGTCAAAGCTCCCAGTTCCCGGCCGGCCATGGGCTCTTCCACATTCGGCGATTGGATGTTGAGCGTGTTGCCAGCGTGTTGCCAGGTCACCTTCTTCCGGTCCTATCCTTTCCCTTGGGAGCTCTGGATTGAGGACCTGGACTACAACTTGGTGAAGCTTGGGGAGTCCGAGCAGAAGCCCAGCTACGAGCAGATCGTGGCATGGACCGAGGCCTATGAGGAATCAGCGGGCGTAAAGGCATTCCAGAAGGCGGGGCGGCGAACAGGGAAAGGGGTTGCCAGAGAGTTGCAGAAAAGAAGGGGCACTACTTAAGATGAAGCACCCCGCGTCCGTGTCCGCGTCCGCGTCCGCAAAACGCATCCTCAGAAGCGGATGCGAAAGCTGCGCCCTGTGATCTCTTTGGCCTCGGCCACTGGGCGCAGAGGAGCACGGCGTATGTAAGCCCGCGACCTGTCAAAAACCAGAAGCCAACAAGACCCTCTTGGGCTGAAAGACCCGTGACACAAAACAGAAGTTGCCAAATATGACCAGAGGCGTTCCTCCAACAGAGGCTGTTTTGAGTTGTGTCTTTGGCTCTTTTTTTTCTCTTCTCGGGAACCCCCGACTGCCTTTTTTGTCCAGGTTGCCCCTCCCCAAAAAAGAAAAAGAAAAAGGGGCCGAACGGACCGAACAAGGGGCCGGGATTTTCCCGAGCGCAGGTGGGGAAGCTCCTGCAGGACAACCAGAAGAGGTTGGACCCAGACGAAGCCGCGGCTTTGGCGCTGGGCTCCTGAGATCGCTTTCCGCGCGCCGTCCGCGCGCGGCGTTTTTTGGCGCAGGGGGTCGGAGATGGCCGGATGGCCTGAAGAAACATTGCATAGTGGCACAAGATCTATCATTCACGACGCACATGTGTATATTTATACCCAACTCTTTCTCTCTGCATATGTGCAAGCACAAGCACAAGCACACATTGAACATATTCTGAAGAAGCAGCAGTATTGGACCACCGACCCACTCGCCTGCCTGCTTTCGCCCAAGGCTCCTCTCACACTTCCAGTCTCACCGGTCGGCTGGGCCTGGTTTCCAGCTGGACGCTCCAGCTTTTCACGTGATGCGCGAGAGATGCTGCAGGCTTTGGATTTTCAAGTCGGGCACTAGCAAGGCATCAGTTCTTTAGCTCGTTTCGGTTGCCCCCCCCAAAAAAAAAACATAAAATCAGAAAACATCTTCGCCACAGGTGCACATCCTGAACAACAAGGAAACTTCCACCCTTTCGCGCGGCGCTTTTCCACAGCCACGAGCTTTCCTTGGGTGCGGGGAAATTCTTCCGACGAAACGCGAAGTGGCAAGAATTCTGTCCAGTTTACATGTATCATGATGTTGCTCCCAGCAGCCCCGCCAACCATTTCGTTGTTTTTTTTTCAGGACGATTTCGATTCGTGGTTCGTACGTGTCAGGCTGGTTGTTGGCCTTTTTCGATGGTTCGGTTCCGGTTGGGTGCGCAGTTCCCGCGGCCCCGCTAAGAATTCGTAACACCTGTTTGCGGAAGAGTCCTCCCTGCAAAACAATTGAGCCACAATCAAACCCGGGTAGATGAAGGTTAGTAAGGGACAATCTTGCTTGCCATAAATAGCTGCGGCCGCCTTCTTAGTTCGTTACATTTCTTTACATGGTTCGGAATAATTACCGGATTTTGATTATGATTTCAGTGGGGTGATAGGGGCCTCAAGGTTTCCGTTTCAGCCCTTGTCCAGATGAATGCCCTTGCCGGCCACTTTCAAGTTAGAGGGCATCTTGAATGGCTGCTCCCGAATTGCACCTGGCCGGGGCCGGCTCTTTCGTTCAGCCGTGCGGCAAAAAAGGCGGCAGCCCGGGGCAAAGGCTCAGCACATCCAGGTGTTTGAGGCCTTTCTTTCTTCCCGAAGTGTGCGTGCCAAGCAGGGCGCGAGGCCTGACCATGGCAACTTGCTTTTGTGACTGTTTGGCAGGTCCATCTTAATTAAGGTGGCAAAACGAATGTGAAAACAGCCTGTCAAAGTGGGTGGTCAGGAATGCGCTGACGATGCACCTGGTGCGACACCCTGTGTGCAGGGAAGCAACATGCGCCACGCTGCCGAGGCGGCTATCTGTGCCGGTGTCCGCCCGGACCAGGATCGCCACAGCTGGCAAGGTGTCTCAGATGACGAAGGCAGGGGCCGAAGAGCATGCGCGAGTACTGAGGGTCCAACTTTCAAATGAAAGGCAACCCGCCTCTTTGCAAAAACCACCCTAAGCGCCCTCAACTCTAAACCATATGGCAACCTCTCAAGGCTCAAGTCAAGTAGTACAGTCTGCCTATCGTTTGCCAAGTTTTTGCGCTTCCACAGCCATGTGTGTCCGCTTTCTCCTGGTGCTCCTGGGCCTCTGTTCTGCTCTGCGACAGTCGCAGGTGACCAAAGATGCGGAGGCGGCGAAGGAGTGGTGGAACTGCTGGTGTGACGATAAACATGTGACCACCTACACTGCGGAATCGGAGTGCGATTGGCGCTGTAGAGAACGTTGCCCAGACTCAAAATGGATATCGTGCGATGTGGAGGTGGCTAGTTACGTCTCAGACTCCGACGAGGACGACTACTAGTAGCTACGAGCTGCATTCCATTCAGTTGAAGGACGCTCAGAAGGGAATGCGCCATGCATTGCTTGGGTGATCTCGTCGCACAAAGGGCAGCGTGTGGATGTTTTTTTTGTAGGCTTGGCTTTGCTCGCACTTCGTCAATGTCTCTTTTCTTTGGTTCGGTTTGAATTTCGCCATGGCTCCTCCGGCTTACCCCCCCTCCCACAAAAAAAAGAAAGAAAGAAAAAGGCTTCCGTCTTCCAACACCCGATCGCCAGCTTTGATGATTGGAGGGAGGGTAAGCAGGCGTCCATCATTGTTCGGCACCAGTTGTTCAAAGCACTCCTGCCGGAGAGGTGGTCTGGCAAATGCAGGGACAAGCAGACCGTGCCAAAGAATCAAACGCATAGCTTTCTGTTGCTCCCTGTTGTCAAGGTGGCTTCTTGACTAGAACCATGGACTGTCAGTCCCTTTTCTCACCTTCCAGTGAGACCTGGCGCAGGTCTACGAGCGGGCGGCGGAGAGCGACAGCGACAGCAGCGATGAGGCGAAAGAAGAGGCGCCGCCGAAGGCAGCCCTGCAGGCAGGGGCGGCGTAAGTGCAGAGAATGTAGTGCTCTTTTGCCCTTTTGGCACTTATGCCCCCTGCTTGATTCGGCTAGGGTGTTTTTAGCGCCTGTGTCGGTTTTTCTGTGCCGATCAGATTGCTTTTTGTGCTCGGTGTGTCCGAGAATGTGGCTTTGTTTGTTTGTTTGTTTGTTTGCTTGTTTGCTTGCTTGCTTGCTTGTTTGCTTTTTTTGTCCGAGTGGAAAAAGGCATGGGCAAGACCTGGGTTTTGGAGGCGAGGTGAGGCAATGAATTAAAGTGAAGGCCGCGAGAGGGCCCCACAGCCCGTGCCATGAGTCTTCGTCTTGCGAAGATCAGAGTTTTGCGAAGCAGATCTGGAGTTTTCGGGTTGGGCCTTAAAGTGTCTACAGTTTTGTTGGACGAGATATGAGGTTTTCTTGGAGGGTGCCAATTTTTGAGCGGCTTTGCAGGGAAACCAAGAAGGAACCAGATAATTTGGGAACACCCATGCTGGTGCTCGCATCAGGTTGCTGATTGGTTCTGTTTGTTTTCAGGTGCCCCCGCTGCCCTCGCTTCTGGATGGCAACCTGGACGGATTCGGTGAGCCTTTGTATGCATGCCGGGGGCTCTCTGCCCAACAACTGTGTCAGCTGGCTTTCCGGACTTGTCTTGTTTTGGCCGCCCGCGGTAAGAGCAAAAAATTGCGTTCTTTTCCGCCTCGGGCGGCGGAAAGGATTTGCAAATTTTGATCGCAGCTCCGGCCCGAGCGGCGAAAACTCCCTTGCCGTCTTCCCTTCCTTTCCATGTGGCCAGCGGCGCTGTTCCTGGGCCTCGCGGCGGCGAGCCTCGAGGGCGAGCCGGGGGAGCAGTGCGGCGAGTCATGTCAAGTAAACTTCCTGCAGGTGGAGGTGGCCAGAGTGGGCAGGTCACCGGCGCAAGCGGCGCAAGCGGCGCAAGCGGCGCAAGGCGCGGGGGGCCAACGACGTAGGTGTGGTTGTTGTTGCGAAGGCCTGCTAGCCGTAAAGGCCAACAAAAACACTTGCAAGGCCTGAAGGCTGCTGAAGCAAGCCGTGAAACAGAGAATGCTGTTTGGGCGAATCGATTTCCAGAGCCGGTCCACTTGCCGAAAAGGCATGGCAGGTCCGTTAAGGCTCACCATCGTTCTATGACCTGTTTTCAAGTAGCTGGACCTGTTTTTAAGTAACTTAAGTAGCTGGATGTGGATGAGCATCGAAATTTAGATCCATTAAACCAATTGCAGATGGGCGCCGGGTGCCAATTCGCGGGGAAGGCTGGTGGCGCACTGGGTTACATGAGCCCAGGTCTCGAGTCCGAGCGGCCGTTTCGCGAGGGAAGGAAGAACCATTAGGTGTCCTTTTTGGGTTAGTTTTTGGTCGAAAAATGGTTGTTTTGGTCGAAACATGGTTGTTTTGGTCGAAGCATTGTTGTTTTGGTCGAAACATGGTTGTTTTGGTCGAAACATGGTTGTTTTGGTCGAAATTGTTGTTTTGGTCGAAGCATTGTTGTTTTGGTCGAAGCATTGTTGTTTTGGTCGAAACATGGTTGTTTTGGTCGAAACATGGTTGTTTTGGTCGAAATTGTTGTTTTGGTCGAAGCATTGTTGTTTTGGTCGAAACATGGTTGTTTTGGTCGAAACATGGTTGTTTTGGTCGAAATTGTTGTTTTGGTCGAAAACATTGTTTTTGGTCGAAACATGTTGTTTTGGTCGAAACAAAAATTGTTTTGGTCGAACATCGAAACATGGTTGTTTTGGTCGAAATTGTTGTTTTGGTCGAAGCATTGTTGTTTTGGTCGAAACATGGTTGTTTTGGTCGAAACATGGTTGTTTTGGGTTGTTTTGGAAACAGTTGTTTTGGGAAAATTGTTGTTTTGGTCGAAGCATTGTTGTTTTGGTCGAAATTGTTGTTTTGGTCGAAGCATTGTTGTTTTGGTCGAAATGGTGTTGGCATTGTTGTTTTGGTCGTGTTGTTTTTGGTTGTTTTGGTCGAAATTGTTGTTTTGGTCGAAGCATTGTTGTTTTGGTCGAAACATGGTTGTTTTGGTCGAAACATGGTTGTTTTGGTCGAAATTGTTGTTTTGGTCGAAGCATTGTTGTTTTGGTCGAAACATGGTTGTTTTGGTCGAAACATGGTTGTTTTGGTCGAAACATGGTTGTTTTTGTAGGAACATAGAGGGCGATTCCTGGTTTAATTACCTGGTGGTTTTGTCTCATCTACCAGGGAAACCCATCTATTTGCCCTAGAAGGACGCCTATGTTAAGAACCCCTTTTACCAGCTTCCTCATAGACCAGCAGGGGGAGTGTTAGATTTTTCGACTAACCCTAAGGGTGTAAAAATATGATACCTCTTGAGGCAAAAATGGCATGTATGGGCCATTTTGGGCAATGCCAGATGAAACTCATGCATGTTCATTGTTCCTGCCTGTGAAGAGCAGAGTCCTTTTTCTTAAGAGCGACCAAGCTGTGTGTAGGAACATTGGAGGGGCCTCACGCTAGATGCCTCCAAATGGTTGCAGAGCTGCGGATGAACCTTTTTCATTACATTGCAGCATCGCTCGCGCGTGCTGTGCAAGTTGTTGCAACGTTCCGTTGATGGGATGATGGGAGCAACCCTGTGCGAAGTCCAGGGCGCCCAAACGACTTGACACGTCTCGGGAACGGTGCTCTTCCCCGATGGCATTATTGCATTTGCATGTTCAATTTGTACAGTACATGCATATGCACTCACAGGAAAATGAACATCATGTTCAACAAAGTCACCCCTTATTTGCCTTTGTATTGTGTGTTTGATGGTCGAATTCTTCTTCAGGGTTTCTTTCCTCATTCGTCGTAGGGCCCGCGTTGCCGTTGGCCAGGGGCTCCCTGGTACCCCAGCCGTGCTGTGGACCACAACCGCTCGGGGCTGTCGCTGGCGCTGGGGCCGTGGCCTTTGAAGGACCCGGCCTGGCTGTACGAGGCAGGGCGATCGCGACCGCGCGCGCGCGCGGGGTGTGCATACGTGTGTCCTTTTGATCGGTTAGTTTGGTTAAAAATGGATGGGTTCCACTGGTTTAGTTGGGGTTTATTATGTTTATGCCATGTACCAGGGCCATCTATTTTTCCAAAAGGCCACCTATGGGAGTGTCTGTGTGTCTGTGTGTGTGTGTGTGTGTGTGCGTGCGTGTTTGTGGGTGGCGCATGTCCACGAGGTTTGAGTGGGCAGGCGTGGGGCACTGGTCACGCTTCTTGTTGGCTCGGCTGGCTCCCGGGATTTTGTGCATGGCAATGACTTGTGATATTCTTGGGCTGGCTTTGGCTTGCCTCATTTAAGGTCTGTTTTTTCCGCTCACAAAAACAGATCATCAGGCAGCCGGTGCACAACACCTCGTGCAAGAACTCTCCATAGCCCAAGCCTCCCACGAAAATTGCCTTCAAAAACGGTCAAAAGGTTTGTTGGAGGGTCTCACGGGATGCAACACGGAAAATTCGATTTTCGGTGTGCGAGGTTCCGGGACTGAACTTCCATCAGACCCCCTGCATTGACCATCAGGACTTGGGGCTGGATGGGGGGAGTGGGGCGGCTGAGTGGGCAGTGCAGATTGCAGCGGCACGCACACACACACACATACACTTGCTGGTGTGAAAGTAGGGAATGAGAATTGGAATGAACCCAGGCTTTGGTCCCCTTAGAGGAAACCATTCGTTGGATGCTTTCTGGGCGCAAGGACAAAATGATTTTCCAGCAGGTTTTCAAAGGTGGACCGCATGGTTGGCCGTGCGCCGTGGGCCGCATGACATAGACCCAGAGACCAGCTGCAAATGGCGGTTCTTGGCTTCCACGGGGTTGGAACGAACAGCGATCTGATGGGAAGCGTGCATCTTTGGGACTGCCTGTGCGCCACTTCTGGGTGGCCGTTTTTTTCTTCTTTTTCTTTTCTTTCTCCCCGCTAGGCACCTTTTGAAATTCAACTGGCGCATTCTTCTGGCAGGGGGGGTGCTTATTCTCCCGGTCCACCGCACATGTGACTTCATATGGTATCTCTTGAGGTTCGGAGTTCTTGGGATAGTTGCTTGCTGTTGGGGGTGGTCACTCCACTTTGAACTGCCGCCCAGCCCAGCTCGAATCAACAATATCACCCTCAATTGTCCTGCTCTTGAGGATTTTTGAGTCACGGTCCCCCAAGGCAACGACAATGAGATTCTAGGGGTTGATTCTCCATTCTTTTCAAAAAGCGTTTGTTTCAAAAACTAGCTGTTTCCCTGCGTTTTTGATGGTTTCCTCAAAAGAAGGATCCCTGGAAAGAATGGGGAAGGTAGCCCTAGAGAGATTGTCCTTTCAGGCTTTGGCCCAGGAAGCTTGTTGGGTGCTTTGGACGTGGGGAGCTCCAGTCTCTCCACCTCGGACCAAGCTGGTGTTGAGCATTCCTGGTCAGTTGCAATAGGATGAAGAGGCATATCCCACATACGCCGACAGCACGTAGCGGCAAGCCTATCCAGCTGATCATGTTGTGGCGCGCCTTGCGCGCCTTTTCAGACGTGTGGTTCTGTTGGCACTGGAGCTCGCAGGAGGCTTCTTCCAGGTACTCCAGGAAGCTAGGAATGGACCGTGGATCCTAAGATCTGGCTGGTGAATGGAAGGTATCCAAATTTGCCTTTGAAAAGGGAGCCTCTGGGGGCTACCAGGAGTTCTGTAAGGACATGGAGGTTGGAATGGGCAACCAGTAATCAGACTAAGGGATTGCAGCAAAGGGAGAATGCGATTTTGATGAAACTGGTTGAACTGCGAGAGGAGAACGTCTACACTGGCAGTGACAACGGTAAGATCCTTTCCTTCGACCGGCAAGGCAACAAGCGGTGGGAGTACGATGGCCCTGCTAGGAGAGGGATCGCTCGTTGTGCAGGCTCCAAAAGATCCAGGGGTTGATTCGTCATTCTTTTCAACCATCGTTCTTTTCAAGAACCGGATCCGTTTTCCCCTCGGTTTCTGAAGGTTCTCTAGAAAGAAGGATTCCTGGAAAGAATTGGGAAGGTAGCCCTAGAAAAGACATGACTTCGCGTGTTTCCTCAGAATCCTTCTTGAGATTTGATCCACACTTTGAGTATCTTTGCCTGGGATCTCTTGGCCGGTCAGGGCTGAGATAGAGAAAACGTGGGCCTACTTCTACCAACACAGGCGCCATCGTTGCGCTGCCATTGTTTGTTCTCTGTCCTTCTCTCTCTCTCTCTCTCTCTCTCTATCTGTCGCTTATATTTCTGCTGATTTTGTTGGTCTAGCAAAAATGTTTGGCCCCCTCTGGTCTTGCTGGTGCTCTGGGAATGGCCCAGGGTTTGGGGATGAATCCGATTCCTCCAAAGGAAGCCATACTGGTAGGGGATGGTTTTTCTCGGGGTCATTCCAACCTTGGGCATCCTTTGATTCAGATGGCAAGGTTTAAGCACTCTTGGAATTCTTCTATTTGCTGAAAAATATTTGTGCTTGTTTTATGTTCCCCTGTGGGTTTTAAAGGGAATCTATTACTCCAGGATTGTGTTTCTCAGGGGCTTACGCAACTGGCGAATTGGAGTGCGTTTTCGGGGATGGTCATGGGTTTCCTGGACGCAAGCATAAACTCGACATGTGTCCCCATGACAGCGATTGCTGGAGTCGATCGGAGAATTGGGGCCCCCACGTGCCGACACTCTGTGCCAAGTGCCCGAGTTGGACAGCTTGAAGCGTTCCACCAGGACTTGGCGCGGCTCAAAGAGAATGTAGAGGACGTAGCCATGGCAGGTTTCAACCAAAGCATTTTTCCCGTGAGGAGCTGCCAGAACCCCTTCCTCTTTGAAGGGGTGCTGTACACCGCCTGCAGCGACGGCTCCGTGTTGGCATTGACCATGGAGAAGGGTCAGTTGCTGTGGTCCCGCAAGGTGGCCGACGCCGAAGGCGGCCACTTGAGCTCAATGTGGGGGAAGGGTGGGGGATGGGAAGGGGGTGGTGGGGGTGGGGGTGGGGGGTGGTAGGGGTGGAGGGAGGGGGTGGTGAGGGTGGTGGGTGGCAACTTGGGGTTTGGTTCGCGTGCCAAGGGAAGCCGAAGGCCCATCGAGCTGTGAGGCCTCGGTGAATGCTTCTCGTGACCTCAGAGAGCTCAAAGACCTCAGATGGCCCCCATCGGCACATTTCTGTGGCAGTACCTCATGAGGATCTTCGGTGTCGCTATGTTTGTGAATGCCTTTACCCCCACCCCCCCACCCCCCCTCCCCGTAAGGTCGTTGGGTCCTATCCCTAGGGTGGCTAGGGAGCTGATATATCGGCATTTTCCCTGGGCCATCCGAAGCTGAACCTAATTGATTTTGATCGGAGATTCGAGCTGCGTTGCTTTGCTGCGTCCGCTTAAGCTAGGGAACTGAAAAGAGATTCGAATTGCTCGTTCTGAAAGTGCTGCGTCCCCCTAGCTTTCCGCAAACATGCTTCCCCAAGGTTTCCTAAGGCTTTTCTAGGGCTTCCCTAGGGCTTCTCTAAGGTTTCCAGCTTCCCTAACGCTTCCCTAAAACTTCCCGAAGGCTTCCCTAAGGCTTCCCTAAGGCTTCCCTAAAACTTCCCTAAAACTTCCCTAAGGCTTCCCTGAGGCTTCCCTAAGGCTTACCTAAGGCTTACCTAGGCTTCCCTAATGCTTCCCTAAGGAATCCCTCAGCTTCCCTGAGACTTCCTTGAGGCTTCCCTAAGGGTCCCTTCCCATTTGCAGGTTTGGGTGGTATTTTTTGTCCAATCAGCTTTTCACAGTTTTTCAAGAGCCTAGTGCTCCCGCGTTTTTCAAGAGCCCAGTGTTCCCGCCATGCGCAGGGCGAGTGTCGGGCCAAGCTTCCCCGAGGCTTCAGCAAGGCTTCCTAAGCCTCCCCTGCAAGAGAAGCCCTTTAAGCTTAATGGGGGTGGGTAAAGGAGGGGGGAGGGTACGGGCTCCATAATATGTTCAGTACCTATTTGCTTCGATTTGGAGCCGTTGGTCTCAAAGACAGAAGTGGCCTGCCATCACTCCATCAAAGATACCAGCCAGCCTAAAAAGCAGGACATCTTGAATTCAAACGTGCTTGTGAACTGCAATCCTCCAGCCACCATCTCGTTGAAAATCTGTCTGTCCCGAGGCGATACCTACTCTATCACCGCCACCCGCGACCACCTCTTCATGCCTGCAGGCATTGCTCCGAAATTTGGAATGGGTGCGCCCAAAGTGGTCCTTCTTCGGCGGGCGGATGGCGAGATGCTTTGGGAATACGAGCTGCCAAACAGCTCTGCAACCATCAACATCGCGCCTGGGACAGAAGCACTGGCGCTTCTAGCACCGGATTCTTCTTGCTGCGAGAGATGCAGGGAATGAGAATTGGACACCCAGGCTTTGGACACCCCGAAAAAAAGGGAAACGCCGCCAGTTGCATTGAATTGTTTTTCTCTTCCGGCGCTCATTTTTTTTGAAAAACTTGTGTTCCCTTCTCTTGCGCACCGATGGCAAGTGGAGAACTTCCAGTTCTCGGTTCGGTTTCTGGGGGCCGAAGTCAAATGGAAGCGGCGGGTTTCCCTACCTTGGGTGACTTGGGTGGCAAAAGAACGAGGCCGGCTAAATACCACTCATGGGAGAGCCAAGATTTTCTTCTGAGACATGCTAGTCAGAGGGGAGGTGCGGAACCATGTGGCAAGTCACTTGTGCCACTCATGACTTCGGGCTTGTTTCGTTCATCATTAATGTTAACCCCGGATGAATATACACGCGGTTGATTAACAGGGGGGTGCCCCCTTTTAGTGGGATTCATCACTTTTGGAGGGAACACCCGCCTAATGGGACGAATCTATTAATCCTGGGTCAACATGATTGCCCGTTTGTCATCTGGGAACTGTTCTGTTGCTCATCTTGGAATCTGGCTCTGTGCAACGCAAGCGTTTCGAGAACAAACTTGTTGCGAGTACTTTGGGCCAGTTGGCCGCGCAGAGGCTAGGCCGGTCTGGGTTTACAGCCTCCGGCACCCTTCCACGCAAGCAACCCACTTGTCTTGGTGCCTTCCGTCCGTTGCCTCTCTGTAGACGAGCTGCACTTGTCACCCGCTTTTCTCACGTCGGCGTGAAGCAAAGAGCACCCACCTGGCCTCTCTGTACCCATTTCGCTGTTCGCGAAATGGGATGCTTCAAGTTCGGTGGGGCTCGGCCTGTGGCTTCTTCTTTTTTTTGGGGGGGAAAAAAGTCAAGGCGCTTCAGGAACCTCGGCGACCCTCCTGAAACAACGAATCTCTCGGGGCCTTCGGGAGCCGAAGGCCCCCTGCCTCCTGGAGAGCTCCGTGGTCTTCGCGGACGTGAGCGGCGCCATGTACCGGCTCAGGCTGGAGGATGGCTCGGTGATGTGGCAGACCCCGCCGCCGGTGGGAGGCGGGGTCGCTCGGGTTAACTGGAGGCACCCTGCAACCCAGTGATCCCAAAGTCCGGTTTTGGCAGGCGGATGCAGGCTTTTTTCAGGTAAGAGCAAGCATGAGGCAGATCCGCAGCGCGACTAGGATGCACAGCACGCTTTCGGTGAAGTTCAAGGCATTGCGCTACTTGATTGAGGGGGGATGATCTTTGAACAAAAATCCGTGTGTTCCGTGCGGCGCCCATCTCAGCCCCAACGCCTGCATTTTAGGCTCACAGCTGCCTGAAATGTGCCACGCGGGAAATGATCCCTTTCTTTTGCCTCGCTGCTTTCTCCCGAGGACTCGGGGAGTTGGCCGCGCTGGGCGAGAGAGGTATCCCGTTGGAATGTCGAACCGGTATCCCCAAAAGGTAACCTGAGAGGTCCTGGAAGACAGTCCTCTAAAAGGCACTTGGTTTTAGTTCCATGTGGAGAGGAGGGTGTTGACGGTGTCACTCTCTCCTCATTTTTTCGAGCGCACGCGATGCGCTCCAGGCACCTTTACCCTCGGAGGGGTGGCCTGCGATGCGGAGGGCCACGCCTTCAGCGGCGTGTCCTTGCATGACCACGGCCCGGGCGCGCTGCAGTCCATTGACCTGGAAACTGGGACGAGGCCGGCCGGCTGCCGCGGGCTGTGGGCTGTCACGAGTCTGCCGTCGAACCTTGGGCCAAGCGGTCACTGGTCCCAAAGCTTTTGAAGTTTCAGTCTTTCCGCCTTTTGAAGCGATCAAGAAACAGAAGCAGCTGATGAATGCCTTTGATACTTTTGCCGGACTGCATACGTCTTTTTTTTTGCAATCAATTCGACTTGCACCAGTTTTGTCTCGCGTGGCTGATCGGCATGGGTTGCGCCAGTACCTGGCATGCATGCCGAACTGCAAATCCCAAATTAAACAAAGATGCAACGCGTATTGCAAAGGGCATAAGGAAGGGGCTTTGTGTCAAACTCGCTCTCTCCCTTGAAGGGAGAGCCTGGCAAATGTGTTTTGCGGTGCTGAGCCACAGCCTTTGCTTCCCTGGTGGCAACTCAAGCCCTTCAAGCATCAAGGAAGCACAGCAAACATACCCCGAAGCGTTTGCTAAGTTGAGGTTTCTTAGCTTCGGCCCGTCGCCGAAGCAAATTTCGATGCACCGGTTCCAGTGAGAGATTTGCGCCAAACAAGAGAAGGCGGCGGGGGGGGGGGGGGACAGGGGGGGATTTTCCTCGGGAAATGCCGGCGGGAGGCTCTGGCTGAAGACTTTTGTGGCGGCAGTGCACAATGCGCCGGCCATTGGGCCAGTCTTCAACCATGACAAGGCGAGGTCGGGGGACTGGGTTTTTGTATGACCTGCGGAGGTCTTTATTTGACCTGTTGAGGGGAAAATCCGACTTAGGGACACTGGAGTACTGGAGTCGGGGTTTGTTCGCTTCCCCTCAAGCAGCCTCGAGAAAGAAAACACTCATTTTTCCCCACCATGAGGGCAGAGTAGATTGGGTCTCCGCGTGCTTGGATGTGAAGTGGGATGTTCAGCTTTGCTTTCAAGAGAAACGTTTTGGCTGTGGGAAATGGCATCCACTTTGATACAACAGGAAGGGCTTCCCAAGGACTAAGCCCCACATAAAGGGGGAGATTGCCTGGTATCACAGAAGTGGTTGGATTTGCACGTAGGAGTGTAATTCTGGCGACCGCCTACCTATCAGGCGTGTTTTTTTTTGGTTCCCCACGAGTCGACAGCCAAGATCGTTCTTGTCTTCCATGAATCCTTGAAGCTTGCCCGTGCTCGCTTGCCCACGAAGCTTCTAAACTCCCTTGCACCCCGAGTGATCAACCACAACCCACCCTGCCCTTGAGTGCCAATGAGGGGGGCGGCCTTGGGGCCTTGGGAAAAAGATACGGTTGAGCGCCACTTCACCATAGTCATTGAGGGCAGATTGGATAGACAACTTGTGTGTTTTTGTACTCCAAATTGGGTACTTGGCCTCCGGGGACTCCTGGCCCATGGCTTTAAAACAAACCTCCCGGTTTGAGGATGTGTGTTGGCTTGGTCCAGGTCGGCAGGGGTCCAGATTTTTTTTTGACATACCCTTGGTGGTGAAGGTTCTTGGTCGAACAGGCAGTTCAGTTAAGACATCTAGGTTGATTCTTTAGAGTCTTTAAATTCAATCATTATGCGAACTTTGGGGAAGCATGAGTTACCATGCGCAAAGGTTGCGGCCCTTCCAGAAGTCAGCAGCGCAGAAATTCATAGGTTACAACCCCAGGACGCTGTCCTACTATGTTGTTGGTGCCCCTGAATATCAGTGGGCACCTTTTTCGTTGCCTTTCTGAGTCAAGACCCTCTGGACGCAACAGCAGAGAGAGAGAGAGAGAGAGGGAGAGAGAAACTCCGGAACACCCCGGAGAAGCAAAAACAACATCTTTAGGACGTTTCTTCCAGGGTGTGTCTCCGGAAATCAATCAAGCTTGGAGTTTTTGTTTGGGGGGAGACGCGTGGGTACTCCAATATGTCAGCGTTGCCGAGGTTGCAGTGGTCTTTGGCGCGGGCGAGCCTCTAGGCGTTGGGATGGATACGAACGATGATCATCATTTGCGGGAAGTCATGCCGTTTTGGATATACCATTGCTCCCTTTCTGGACAGACCGTGGTGCGGGATTGCGTCCATCCACAGGATTTTGCAATTTCTTTGCGAATGATTGAGCTTCGAGTGAAAGGTTTGTGTGTGATCGCATTGCTCCCTATGAAATGGCGAAGTACAGAGTGCAGCAGCCATGAGCACCGGGACGCAACTCGAAACGCCGAACAGCGATGCAAAGTGCGGCCCTTCACCATAGCAGCCAATTGGGGGAGGGGGCTTTGGGTGGGGGCACGGTGCGTGGGGGAGGCAGTCGGTCAGGGCTGCGGCTTGTGATTTGAACCAAGGGCATCTGGAGACATCGTCCACTCACGAATCGCTGAAACCTGGATGCGGGAAGTAAGGAAACCATAGCTGTTTGCTAAGGGTTGGCCTTCTGTCCGAAACAGTTGTTAGGCATGTTAGGCAGATTCCAAAATATAGCTTGATCTCATCCCAAGGGGGAGGGAGAGAGAGAGAGAGAGAGAGAGAGAGAGGGGGGCAGAGATCCAAATTGATCCTGCCATGTGAAGAATACACAGGCTTGGTTGGCATGCGCTCCATCCACAGTTGGCACTCTGATTGTGGCCACTCTCAGGGCTTACGGTTTCCGGTGCCGCCTAGAACAGAACCCTCGTCATGGATGAAACCTAAGCCATGAGGGACGTAAAGCTATTGTTTGGCACAGAAAGTTGCCCCTATGGCTATGGGGGCTGGCTGCTACTCACTCAAGCTTGCGCGCGCGAGAAAATCGTTCCTGAAAATCACGCAGGCTTTTCGAAGGCAGGCTGTCTTGTTGACCACGCGTTTGAGGACACCTGGGACGAAAAAGGCCTCGTGCGGGCCGTGCCGCGCGCGTTTTTCTTCCGGGGGCTCTCCAATCCCCCTCAGTCAGCTTGGTGAGCGAAGGCCCAAGCTGGCAGCTCCATGTTCGCAGGCGCGCCCGTTGGGCCAGCGGCGACGGTGAATGGCACGGTGATCGCCGCCGACGCCAAAACGGGCGAGGCGCAAAGCGGGCGAGGGCTCAGGGCCAGGTGTCCAAGTCATATATCTATCAGCTGCTTTGAATAAAGTGTTTTTCTTTGGCCTTGGCTGGATTGTTGCGGGATTTGTTGGGCCAAGGTTGCTTTGCAGGCCAGCCGTTTGTCTGTCCGTTGTTTTTCTTTCTTTTTGTTCTTCTTTCTCATTGAAAAAAAAGCAAGAACACAAAATAAATAAAGTCAAACGCATTGGATGTTTTTTTTGTTTTCCTTTTTTTTGCGGGAACTTAGGTGTTGATTCTTGATGCTTCTTCATGCCTGGGCAGTTGGTCCAGTTCTTTGGCAAGCTTCCCAGCAAGTGCAAAAGCAACACATCTCTGCCCATAGGTGTCCTTTTTGGTGGTTTTGCAAAAAGGTTTTTTTTTTTTTTTTTCTCAGGCGATTCCTGGTTTTTACCTGGTTGTTTTTCTCTCATCTACCAGGGAAACCCATCTATTTGCCCCAAAAAGGACACCTATGTCTCTGGCCTCCAGGTGATTTGGACCTTCGAGCCGCCCCCCTACACGGGCTACGTCGCCGGGTCCACCATTACCCAAGTTTGCTTGCCGGACCGCTTCGAACCCTGCGCTTTCGGGTTTGGGGCCTCCCCTTTCTCATGTTTTGCCTTTTTTGGGTCCCCTTTGTTTTCCACGAACCAGGCCAAAATATATATATATATATAAAAATGCTGGGGTCCTAATTCCAGCCAATAAATTCTGGTGGCCAATTTTCTAGAAAACGGGGTGGATGCGCTTTGTGTGGATATCACCTGTTCTTCCCGCTGCTGCTTTTTTTATTTATTTATTTTTAAAGTACTTTTTTAGCACCCTGCTGGAATTCTCTACAGGGGTGGATCCACAAAAAAAACACATCCAAGCCGTTTTCTAGAATACAGGATGATTCTAGTTCGAGGTAAGAAAGAAACATAAACACCCATGGGTTGGTTTTTGAAGGCGGCGCGAACTTGGGAGACGTTCAGCACTTGGTCTTGGTCGGTGGGTTTGGCATAGGCACCTGAGCAATGGCAGGAATAGCTCAGTGCTTCTTCTGAGCTATTCCTGCTTTTTGTGGGCCTTGGCCTTTGTTTCGTTTTGACGTGGCATCCCTTGCCCATGAGTTTTATCCAATCGCCCGAAAGTTCTTGAAGAAACCAGTGCTGACTCTGAAGGCAGTGGCCAGGTGTGCAAAGAGTTTAAATGTTGCTTGTGAATAAGTCTTCGCTTGTGAATAACTGCGCTTCCAGATGACAGGAGATCTGTGTGTGAAAGCTGTTATGCTTGATCGCTGTCCTGTTTGATTGTTTGTTTGTTTGTTTGTTTGGCTTGTTAGTTTGATTGTTTGTTTGTTTGTTTGCTTGTTTGTTTGGCTTGTTGGTTTGATTGTTTGTTTGTTTGTCTGCTTGCTTGCTTGCTTGCTTGCTTGCTTGCTTGCTTGCTTGCTTGCTTGCTTGCTTGCTTGCTTGCTTGCTTGCTTGCTTGCTTGCTTGCTTGCTTGCTTGCTTGCTTGCTTGCTTGCTTGCTTGCTTGCTCGTTTGGATGCATTGGGAATTCGCAGTGAGCACACCGCGCGAAATCGAAATGCATTCGCATACGGGTATGGGTTCAGAAGAAAAAGTATGGTCCCTAAAGCGGGTAGGCAAATACGAGTCATAACGTGTGGAACAGTTTTGCGAGTTTCTTTGTGACATAGTGCTGGACAAGCCGGCCGGAGAATTGCCAACGCCATAGACCAAACCCGGAATCCGGTACAACATGCAAGATTGCACAGCTAGAGGGCTTGAACTCCGCACTTTTTTTCTTCTTCTTTCTTCGGTTTTGATGCGCGAAGATCCAAAAGCCCATCTCTTGGAGGAGTCAGAGTCCCGGTCGGATCTTTTTCCTCTTTTTGTTTTTGCTCATTTGTCTTGTCCCTGTGCAGGGTTGGGGGCTCCGAGCTGGCAATTTATATAGGCACCCTCCTCCCCCTCCACCCACACAGGGGAATCATAGTATATCATGGACCGTGGTGTGAGGGTTTAAGCATCCACTCGGAATATTGGGCTGTTTCATGGGCCTTTTTATCCTCCCAAACAACATGGAACCTGACAGGGGGCCCTTTAAAAGGAACATGTTCTTCCAGGAGCCCCGTGTCGGGTTCCATATTAGGGGGAGGGCAATTCCTTTAACGGTCCCAGACCCTTTGGTCTAAAACGCCGCCGCGCCGCGCGTTTTGTTTTGGGGTCGCAGGACCTGTTCTCGGGCGCTACGATCTCTGCGGACGGCACCGTGTACATCAACTGGTCGGCCGGGGGCGTGACCTATGCCCTGAGAGATGCGACGCCTATGCTTGAGGGCTGTGTGGGGGCGTCTGGGGTGCGGGGTGGTCGAGTTTCCACCCAAGGCAACTAGGGTTTGTGAATCCCTTGGCCATGAATTTTAATAAACCGCCTCAGTGATTCTGGACATGAATCCCCATGTCCCAATGTCCTCCAAAAGGTCCCCAGTTGAGCAAATGCCTCTTTTGCCTGTCAGAAGCGTTTTCCTGCCCCACGAAGCTGGCACTGCCGGAGCCGCTTCAAAATCCAAATCGGTTAGCCCCCAATAAACGCATTCGATTCAATCCAACCACTAGAGGTAACCTAAAATGGGTGGTGCACCGAAAACCCCCAAGATGGTACCATTGGTTTTGATCCACAGCCATATGAGGATACGAGGATCGGCTCTCCCTAGGCTGTCCTCCACATTCTGGCTCGGCATTCCGTTGCCTTGTGTTGTAGGCCGGGAAGCTTAGGATGCCATGAATTTGTGACATCTGTAGCTGTTAGCGCAAAGGATTGCTCAAAAGACCATGATGTTTTGGGACGGCCAACTGATTCCAACTTATGAATTGAGCCGTCAAGGGCCTAGCTTTTAAGAACGGGGCGGCCGTTGTTTCTGTTTCCCAAACCAAGGAACAAGGACGGCCGCGTCGACCTGCACGACCCAAAGGAGAAATGGGATTCTCATGTGGGGGCCTTGTTATCCAAGGCAGTGAGCTGAGTGCCGTCATGCAATGCGATGATTTGATGTTCCCCTATTGCTTCGTTTGAAACAGGATCCAGGCCCACCAAGGTTCTCAATTGTTTTCTCCAGAATCAGAAACCTAAGATCAGGTAACCCCTAGTTGGTGGTTTGGATTGGCTTGGGATTCGACATTCTGGCTCCTGTGGGCAAATGGGGTTTCCCACCCTCCAAAACTCCGATCTCACCACCGATCTCACCACTCAAAAACGAGGGAAGCTGAAATGGGCGTGTCAGTCTTTGGGGGCTCCCCCCCTTGCTCGTTTGGTTTTTTTCTACATCAAAACGAGGAAAAAACGCCCGGCTTCCGGCCCTGTGGTCTGAGTTGGAATGAGTTGGAATGGCCTCGAGAAGAAGGCGCGCCATGCAGATGACTTCCTTTGAAGGGCAGCCCCCAAGACCGGGCTCTCTCATCCAACACCTCATGGTGGCTGGGGGTGTGGGAGGGGGGGAGGGAGCCCCAATAAGCCCCAATAAGCCCCAAATAAGGCCTTACTAGGGGCTTAATAAGGGCTTTGGGCTCCCTCCCCCTCCCCCCCCCTCCCCTCCCTCCCCCCGGCCCCCATGAACACCCGGAAACGTGGAAAGTCATTTCCTGCCTCTTCGCTTCGTCCTTTGGCTTCGCAGGAGGTTTCATCGGTGGACCTGGGGTCTGGGGCCACCGGCCCACCGGCGCTGGCGCCGGGGATGCTCTTTGCGGGGGGGCCCATTCCCCGCCAGTCGCATGCGTCGCATGCGGATGGGGTGGCGGTATTCATTGGCTTGGTTGACTCATTCGCACCAGAAGGTTCACGTGGACTGGAAGGGTTTACCGGTAGCAAGTCCTGCAATTGGTCAGGCTGCGATTCTGGTCAAGGCCTTGGACTAGAGTGAGTTTGGACTCCTTCAACTGCAAGGGGCATGCCTTCCTTAAAGGAACTTGCTGCCTTCTCAGATACGGACTCTCCCTTGGGGCAGATGGCGGTTATGTCACCCGGGACCTTTTCCAAGTTTCAGCTTCGGGCCTGGTTGGCTCTTGGGCCCCAAAGGCTGAATGAAAGCCAGGCTGATCTCTTGGTACCAATTTTTGGCCGCGCCCAGGCAGTTTTGAAGAGTGCGCTGGACACCACGAAGCAGTTTTTTTTTTTTTTTTGGGGGGGGAGAAGTAGCCAAAGCACCGGCCTCCAGAACTCAGCTCCAAGTGAAAAGGAGGAGGTTCCCAGTTTCGGCGGGCCAAGCCGTCTTGAGGGCCATTGGCTTTTTGGAGTGGTCGTGGTTAGGGGGAAGGGGCGGGGGGGGGGGGGTTTGGGGCGGGGGTTTGGGGTTTGGGGGGGGGGCATCTTGTGGTTTTTCCAGGCCCCACTCATGCAGTGTATCCACTGGCGGTTGTGGTTGGGGGGAAGGGGCAATCTCGCCATCCGTCAGGTGAACAGCTGCCGCCGGCTCGCTGCCATTCTCTGAAGCCGGCAGGAGAAAACCAAAATCCATGGCATCAGTCCAGAGGAAGTGACCGCAAGGATGTTCCCGCGGTGGTTCCTTTGGTTTGAGCTGTTTGGAGGTGCCGGGGTCCTGCCAGCCAGCCTCTGCCAGCTTTCGCGCCGCGCTTTTCGTTCGAAAAAGCTGGGCTGTGGGCGAGTCGGGTTTCCGGTTGAAGGCTGAGGGGTGGAAAGCCGTGCCGGTTTCAACGGAAAGCGTGCTTGATTCTTCAGATGGAGTGGGTTGCTTTGTTTCCGGGAAACTTGCTTGTTTCCCGGGCGCAATCTTCATGGGACAGCTTTTTTTTGAGCTGTCCAAAGGAAAGGCCTTCGCATGGCTTCCATATGCTGAAGTGACTAGTTGTCATTTTCCAACCTCTTGGTTTTGGAGGGAACCTATCACTACTGAGGCGAACATATCATCACGCTTGTTTTAATTTTTCCCAGGGGGACGTCACGGGCAAACTGGCTGGGCCCGAGGCAAATGCGGCCTTCCTGCCCGGCCATCGCTGGCATCCCCACTTCGCACCTTGAGCTGCGTCCACGAGGCGCGGCGGTCGCTGCGGCGAGTCAAGCGAAGCCATGGAAGCCCAACTTTGGCTCGGCGATTTGCAGATGGTTTGGTTCCGTAGGTGTCCTTTTTGCTTGTTTTGGTAGAAACATAGGTGGCGATTCCTGGTTTTCCTGGTGGCTTCATCATCTACCAGGGAAACCCATCTATTTGCCCTAAAAGGACGAAATCCATTTCGCAAAAACCCTGGAATGACGTAAACAGATTCCCATGGTTTCAAAGTGGTGAAGGATTTTGTCCATCCACAGTATGGTTTGGTTGTTCTAGCATTTATGTTTCTGTTTTCGCCGGGTTTGTCTCCGACTTTCATACGATTTTGAATGCGTTTGACGTCCACATCGGAAAAGAAACACGTGAACGTCGTACTAAAATCGTATTAAACTCGTATTTTATTTGCACACCCTGCTTTCGCGTGCGACAACTTTCCGGGTTTCTTATGGACGTCGTAAATGCGAATCGGAAAAGAAGTACCAACACATCCAACACCATATTGTATATACATATATATATATATGTACATACATGTGTGACACAAGTAAACAAAACACAAGAGCACGCCAACCACGCTGGCAGCATAGTAGGTCACAAGTCAGTTTGGTGCCAGGAGGGCTTCTCCGTTCCCGTGTCTACTGTTTGCTTACGGTCCAACAGGCTTGTGGGGACCCCTGCTGGTTTTGAAGGGAAACCAAAGGGAGAACCAGCATTTTGGGCATCACCCAAAGCTCAGACACACCCATCTGGGTATTGGGTATTGCGGCTGTCTTTGAAGGGTCAGTGGTTCTTGTGCTCAGGACGCCTTGCTTACGTCCGACCTGCTGAGTTCAAGCGAGGAAGGGGAGGACGAGGAGCTCTTGGTGGAATGCCTCTTGGCAAGCGTGGGCAGGCCCAACATCACACCCAGACGTGGACACGGCACGCCTCCCAACCTATCCCACTTCTGCACATGGCCGTGGGTCAAAAATGGGCATCCATTTTGGAACCCTAGTAAATGGAACCAAGGACTAAAACCTGCGGTCCCTGGTGCTTTAGTTTTGACCCATACCCACAGTTTGATGCCTCGAGCATGTCTGCACATGCAAGGTAAGTTCTACCACCTACCTATCCTGTCTATCCACCTGATTGTTTGTCTGTCTGACTCTCTGTCTCTTTGTCTCTTTGTCAGGCCGGTCAGTCCCTCTTCTGTCTGTCTGTCTGTCTGTCTGTCTGTCTGCCTGCCTGCCTGCCTGCCTGCCTGCCTGCCTGCCTGCCTGCCTGCCTGCCTGCCTGCCTGCCTGCCTGCCTGTGCCTGCCTGCCTGCCTCTCCGCCAGCAGCCGAGGTGTCACGGACAAGATCGACCCCCCGATCTCGCAGCGGTCCTTGGTGCCCCTCTCCTTCCGCAGCAACTTGCGCTCCGAGGCCCAGGAAAACACCGAAGAGCGGATGATTAAAACGAAGCCTGCTTCTCAACCACACAACTTTTTGGATAAAGAAGATGGGAGCCAGCCAGAACGCGTCTTAACCGCGCCTATCTAGCCCATCATTTTGTCTGCTCTTATGCTGAACTTGTTTGACTCTTGAAGGGTTCGGGCGAGCGCTGAAGGGCCTGAACCTTCAGCTTGGGTGCCCAATAGATCTGCAGGCCCTGTTTGAACAAGAACTTGCCAGTTGCTTGTACATAGCAAGCGGAACCCTATGGCTTATCTACGCAAGCACTCTCCCCTCAGTACTTGTGGGACATCCCCGCAAGAGTCTGAGAAAGGACAAGCGGGAGAAGGTTCCAGGATGGGGCTGCAGTTCCTTTGTTTCGTCTGGATCCGGTGGTGTCTGCGCCTGCCAGGCTCCAACCCAGATCTCGCTGGACCTCTCTGTCATGTCCAAGTCCGGGCGCGGCCGGGCTGCAATTTCAAGCCGACCGATTCGCAGCAGTCTGCCGCGTGGCGGCCTTGACGTTCAGCGTGGCTCAGATGCCCATGTGCAAATCAAGCAGGGGTTGCAGCCAACGGGGTGCCACATGGGAAAGAATGACGCTTGCGATGTTTGGGCCATTGCAATCGGATGTCAAAGGATCAAACAATCAAACGGGGTTTTGCTTCCGTTGCCCAGTGCAAGCCGGGAGGGTGTGAAGGGTTGCGAGCTTCTTGCTCGCCAGTGCTTGCGAGCCCCTGCTTTATGCCAGATGGGAGCACTTTGATCTCATGTGTTTCCGGGGCAGGGGTTGGGGGGTGGGGGGTGGGGGGTGGAGGGCGTCCTAGTTTTTAGCTGGGAGGTGGCCTCCAAATCAGTCCGAAGTTTCCCATGGATTTGCGGCCAGGTTCCCGGCCACTCGCGAACACTCGCACCAACCCACTGCTGTGACATTGATAGAAGCAGGCGCCCACGGAGGCACTAGGGCCCTGAACCATTCCCGCAGTGCATGAGGAACATGTGGCGGAAAGGAGGAATCTATGCCAAAAAAATGATGAATGTACTACGGCCATCTACACACATTTTGATCCAACGACGAGCTATGGCAAGCCCTGGCCAACGGAAGCCCTAGCCTTCGGCAGCCTGTATCTGCTCCCGGCTGGATGGCCCACTCTCTTAGCCCCAGGTGATTTTTGAGGAACAGAGGGATCCGACATCAAAGTTTGTCCAAAAGATGTTCAGATGGCGAAGCCTTTGTCCAGACCTGCAATACCAGTTCAGGCAAGGATGGGGGGGGGGTTCCACGTCGCATGCGCACAGTTTATTGTGAAACATTTTGTGTAATGTGTTGCGTTTGCGTTGCTTTCTTTGCTTTGTGTTGTGTTGTGCTTGCTTGCTTGGCTTGGCTTGGCTTGGCTTGGCTTGGCTTGGCTTGGCTTGGCTTGGCTTGGCTTGGCTTGGCCTGCCTGCCTGCCTGCCTGTCTGTCTGCCTGCCTGCCTGTCTGTCTGTCTGTTTGCTTGTTTGCTTGTTTGCTTGTTTTGCTTATGTAGATATGTTGAGCATCGATGTTTGCTGGTGCTTGTTTGCTTGTGCGGAAAGGGAGACATCTTTGCTGCGGCCGTCTGAGCAAGCAGCCAGTCTCCAGCAAAACTGTGCCACCTGAGTTGCGCGAGTGCAAGCTCCGTCTCGAAACCCGCTGCAGCCATACCCGAACGCACCCTGTCCGTGAGAAGTGGGGCCCAAGCAGAAGGAACAGACCAAAGAGACCATGAAGTCATGAGCCTCCATCAGGGTGGAACAACGGCTGTTTGGAGGCGAATTGCCCCATAAAGTGTGGGGGGCAGCCAGAGAGAAAAAAAATGGACGAAATAGCATGCCAAGAACAACACATACGAATCTCCATGATGGCTGCGGAGGAAACGCGGAACTGTGTGAAGTATCCAGAAAGGTGAAGGACAGTCAGAGCGGATGAAAGCACTATTGAAGGAAGATGAAGAGGCAGACCTGTCGCCAACCGCATGACGCCGCACCGAACTCCAATGACAAGTGTGTGTTACTTGCTAAATTGCGCATCTACCGGTCCTCCTGCACGGTAATTACTATGACCAACTTTGTTCTGGGGAAGAAGTCGCACGAATACTTGTGACAATGTGCTATACGCAATTGCGACTGATTCCCCGTGAGAGGGATGTTGGAGCCGCCTATGACGCGCGTGTGATGCATGTTGGTGCAAATGCGCCCTGCCGCGGCGCCTATCGCGGCTTTGACCCGGACGTAGGGCGCTTGACCTGATCGGGCGGAAACATAGCAGATTCTCTTTGAGACTCAACTTGTTTGTTTGTTTGTTTGTTTGTTTGTTTGTTTGTTCGCTCGCTCGCTCGCTTGCTTGCTTGCCTGCTTGCTTGCTTGCTTGCCTGCTTGCTTGCTTGCTTGCTTGCTTGTTTGTTTGTTTGCTTGCTTGTTTGTTTGTTTGTTTCTTTGTTTGTTTCTTTGTTTATCGTGTTGTTTCTTTTTTCTTGGTTTGTTTGTTTCTGTTGGTTGAGCTAAGCGGTCGTCGGTGGGACGCGCGTCGAGGCTGCGCCTCCGCGGGCACCATGGGCGCCGCGGCCGGCGGCGCCGCCGGCGCGGCGCTGGGCTTCCTCGCAGGCCTCGCAAGACCTGAAGCGCGAGGGGGGAGGGGGGGGGTGGGTGGGTTGGGTTGGGTTGGGCTGGGTTGGGTTGGGTTGGTTGGTTGGTTGGGTGGGTGGGGGCTGCGGTCTGAGAGGTTTTTTTGGGACCCCCCCCCCCCACCCCCCAAGAGTTCAAAAGGGGTCCCTTGCTGAATGTGGAACAGAGGTTGTTTTTTCTTCTGCCATGTGTGCCCTTCAGGGCCACAGTGGTTAAAAGCTCAGGCGCCTGAGCCATAAACCGTTTGGGTCTGCGAAGACCTCGCGCCAGGCAGCGCGCTTCTTTCTTGCCTTTTTCCCAAGCCCCAAGCTCTGGCCACGGGGATTTTGGAAGTTATGAACCTTTATTTGCTTAGGACATCATAAATGTATTATCCAAACTATTCTCAACGCGTGAGTTGTTTGCACACTCGGGATTGCTTGTTTTTCAATCTTGGCTGGGTGACTAAAGTAAATCCATTTTCAAAAAACAGGGATCACTATGATGAACAGTGGGGACTCGCAAACGCCCGAAGCAAAATTGGCAAATTGGATAAGTGCTATTTATCTCAGACAATACCACATAGAACTATCTCATTGAGGGCGTGTCCCTTTGCGAATCCTTCACTGTCGGTCCTGAACATCAGCCAACGCCAACCAGCTCAGCTAGGATCAAGATGATCCAGTAAGGTACCAAGGCACGGGACAAAGCTTTGCAGCCAAAGTGATGCGGCCTTGCTGGAAAACAGCTCATTGGCCATGCGGCTAGCAACTGCCAAAAGCAGAAGCCTCCAGCCCGAGGCATCATCCCAGCACCTTTGACCTGGGGCCTCTCGGTGCCGGTGAACGCCGGCATCGGCAGCATTGGGGGGATGCTGATGGGCGGCGCTGGCGGGCTCGTCTGTCAGAGCTTGGACGTCCTGGAGATCGAGGCATGGCAGTGTTCAAAAGCGGCGTGGGCCCGCGCGCGCACTTGGTGTTCAGCTGAGTTCTCAGCCAGGTGTCTTCAAGAACTTGCGGCTGGCAAGCTTGTGTTGGAGCATTGAGGCCTGTAGGGGTTGACGTTTTTTCTCCATCACCGGTTGGAGCGATGTCCCAGAAAATGACACTTTGATCCCGCCAACGAATTGGCAGAGACCTCCACCTGAGCGCAGGCGGTTCAAGGAAGCGGCACCCACCGAGACCTGGACACGGCACGGACGGCAGCCAGTAGTGCGCCGGGTGTGCTGGTGAAGCGCCTTGGCCCAGCGGGGCTTGGGCCGTTTGCGAAAGGCACCTTGTGTTCAACCTTATTGATTCGTGGAAAGGGGGACGCAGAGTCCGGAGGGAGCTCCTTGAGAAGAGACTTGCTTCCCGGTTCACTCTATCTTCTTATTTTTTTTTGGGTTGTGTTGCTGTGTATGACGTCCTATGTTTGACGTCCTATGCCAGCTTGGCTGTGCTGCTTGCTTTGTCCCTCGCAAGAACCATAGCCTGGCTTGCTCGTTTCTAGCAACTACACAGGCTAAGAAAAAGCTATCACAACTGGTTTGCTAGTTTTGCCTCCCACTGCGGGAGCCCACTGGTTTGCTAAGAAAGGAGTCACGACTGGTTTGCTCGTTTTTGCTTCCCGCTGCGGCCGCTTCTCCATCGAGGCTTTCAGAAAAAAAGGCCCGTGGCCGCCCCTACCAAGGCTTAGCCCAACCTGAGCGTATTGATCATACCTCGCGGATCTTTCGCTCAGGTTCTCGCCTATGAATGACGACTCCCCGCAGGAAAGGTCGGAGGGGCGGACGGGCTTTGGGATTATGACATATCTTTCCAGATGCCCCAAGCTTTGTTTCGTGTGATGTTGGTTGCTGGGTTTGGATCCGTTTTCTTCCAGGTGGCACGGGTTCCCCCGAATGGACAAGTGTGTGTTGTTGGCCTGTTGTGGGCTGTGCCGAAGTGTGGGCTGTGCCGAACACCCATAGCCTCGCTCGGCTGCAAGGCTGAAGAGAGCCCAAGCAAAAAAACGTCACCTTGGCAAAGGAATCCCGCATGAGGGTCTGTCTTGTTTTAAGGTATATCCCTTTCTTTTTGCGGTTTTACATGGGAAACCACAAGTTCAACACCACCATTCTGAGAGGATCCCCCTTAAAAAGGCATTTTTTTTGCGGGTTTAAAGGGCGACCAAAAGGAGCGCCACCATTCTGAGGGATCCCCCTCAAAAAAGAAAGAAAATAAAGAGCAGAATCATATGCACAGCTGGATCTCAGGAGTCCTCCAACGAGGTGGCGCTGTACGCCTTGAAGGGTGGGCTGGCACTGGGCTCCGTAGGCGGGGTGCGGGGCTTGCCCGAGCGGGGCAGAGCGGCGGTGTGGGCAGGTGATGTGCCCGGTGGAAGGACCTGGGGGGGGCTAGGATGAGGTGCTGGTGTGGACAGTGTGAACTCGAATCTCGTGGAAGCAAGACTTATAGACTTGTACTCAGGCGAGCCGCAGGCTGCACAGCTTCACGCGGGCCCCGCCCCAAGAAGCAAGCTGTCCAGCAATCCATCAAATGTGGGGAGTGACTGAGATGCGCAAGCCCAGCGTGACTTGCGTTTGCTGAAGTCTACTGAGATTTGGGGAAAGGTGTTGCGTATGATATGCGCAGCATGGGGTGATGAGGCCACGCCGAGTTTGTCTTTCAACAGGCGCATGTAGACTGCAGTCACGGATTTGCAGGAACTGATTTGTTGGAGCGAGACGGCAGGTCGATATACACTTCGTAGATACCAAGTTGGTGCTTGCAATTGCCATTTCTAGTTCTTTTGAATAGGTCAGTCCCCCACAAACCCATCATCCAATAAGCCTCCACAGGGCTGGCCAGAAGCAAGCAGTTCTGAGCCAGCAAGCCAACCATCCATCCAGCAGATCGCCCGAAATCGCCACCGTGGTGGTTTCATTGAAAGCCGCCGTCCCGTTTTCGCGCGGAGCTCTCCTGCAACCGCTGCTCAGGGGCCAGCTGTGGCTCCGCGCTGGGCGGGGTGGTGGGGGCGGCGGTGGGCTTGCCCCCAGCGCTGCTGACGATGGGCCTCTCCATCCCCTTCTGCGCCACCGTGGGCAGTGGGCTGGGGCTGCAGCTCGGCTTCGGTTCAGGTTCGGCTTGGGGAGCTGCGGCTGGGGGGGGGGGGGGAAGGCATACGCCTCAAGAAAAAAGTAGATAGGGATGTTTTTCTTTTGATCCTCAATTGTTTTTGTTTTTGATGCCGGACCAGGCGGGGGTAGCATGCAGTTCTGTTATTTTTTGGGACCTTGCGGGCGAAGCTTCGGTTAATGGGTTTGGCAGGCCGCCCTTCCCAAATGAGACAGGAACTAGGCGTGGGGATCGATCCTCTCTTTCACGTCGCCATGGCACCTATAGGGAGGCGTAGGGAGGTACCTGGAAGGCTCATGTCCTCTTGAAGGGAATTTGTGTCAGGCGCCATGTTATTGGGAGGACTCATCATTCCGAGTATGTGGGGTACTGCCAAATTTCTGGTGTTCCTTTGGTTTCTTTTTCCTAGCTGAAATCGGTACCCTTTGCCTCAAAAGAAAACCGGACAGACACACACACACACACACACACACACCACACACACACCACACACACACCACACACACACACCACACACACCCCACACACACCCCACACACCACACACACCACACACACACACACACACACACACACACACACACACACACACACACACACACACACACACACACACACACACACACACACACACACACACACACACACACACACACACACACACACACACACACACACACAGACACACCCACACACACACACACACACACACACACACACACACACACACACACACACACACACACACACACACACACACACACACACACACACACACACACACACACACACAACACACACACACACACACACACACACACACACACACACACACACACACACACACACACACACACACACACACACACACACACACACACACACACACACACACACACACACACACACACACACACACACACACACACACACACACACACACACACACACACACACACATATTCACATATATTCACATATATTCACATATATACACACATACACACACACACATATATATATATATAGCGGGGTGGGGGACTCGGTTTTCATGGGGGTTGATCCCGTTTCCGTTCCGGCCCCCAAATGACCATGGCTATCTTATCGACCCTTTCTTTTTGGGGGGGTGGGGGCCGTGGGGGGGAGGGGGGGGGAAGTCGAACCTTTGTGTTTCTTTTCTGGTCAAACTGCACGGACCTTTTGACAACACAACCCCATCATTTCCCGCGCGAGGTGCTTGGGCACTGCGGCCGGGGGCAGCGTGGGCCTCCTGGCCGGCGGCCTCCTGGGCCGCCGCAAAGCCACGGACTGCGCTCCCGGAGGCGCTTGAGGGTCCCTTAACTTGGGGAATTGGAGTCAAACTGCAGATCATGTAGATCTGCCAGTTTTGGAGCGAGCTCACCGTGATGGGTGTGTCCTTTGCTTGGGGATTCCCAGGAAGTATTTCACGGCTTGGAATTACTCTGCAATTTGCAGAATATCTCCCCATGAATGTAGATAGTGCATTGAATGTAGCTAGTGCGTTTGCCTAGGCCGACCCGATTTGGGGAAGTAAGATGGGCGTTCGATCTTGAAAATTTGCTTTTAGATGCTTTGCCGGAGGCTGAAGAAGGGACCTGTCATGGCATTCGGACACACAGGCTGAGATTGGGCAATTCGAAGAATTGTTGCAGTGATACTTAAGAGTCTGATTAAGAAGGCCAGCGTCGGTAACTACGCGCACGTACACAACCTGGTTCATGGATGATCGTAGAAGGCATTGCGGCATTGCCTGTTCCGGTGTGTGTCTGTGTGTGTGTGTGTGTGTGGGTGGGTGGGTGGGTGGGTGGGTGGGTGGGTGGGTGGGTGGGTTGGTGGGTGGGTGGGTGGGTGGGGGTGCGGATGCGTTGGTGCGTGCGTGTGCGTGCCTGCCTGCTTGCTTGTGTGCCTGCATGCCTGAGGTTGTTTCCGTTCTTTGCCGGCTCTATTGGATGGAGGGTGTGTGTGCCTCTCTTCATGCTTCAATTTGGCGGCTTGGTCTGATGTTTCTTCCTCGTTTGCTTGAGCCTCTGGATGAATGCATCGAGAATTTGATCGTTCTGCCCTCACTTCCCCTTTGGAAGGGCCTGCTCTCTCGTCGTGACCGGTGTGCCATGCCTTGCAACCAGTGAGGCCCACAACCGTTTCTTGCTCTAGATGTTTTTCCTTTTTTCCGAGCTCGAATCGTTTCGGTCGGCTTGCCTCAATCTTTCTTGGTTTCGTCCGGCCTCGCCAGGCACGCCGAGCTTCTTCCCGCCAAGGCGGTTGACCGCATCGGGCCGTGGAGAGAGGGAAGGTGGTTTGTCATGTGTGGGTTTGTTTGACTGGCACCAGGGATTGCTTGATCATCTACATAAGCATACGATCAAGAGGCCAAATGGATAGGATCTCTCAGCCTTCGCGTCGCACCATGCACTCCTCGATTTTGGTATGCTTTGCTTGGCCAAGTCTGTTTTTTGTTTTCCCCTTGAAATGTTCAAGAGGCACAGGCTGCAGCCATTGTGTTTCTTCATCCCATGCCCAGGCCCAAGCAACCGTGGCTTTCTGACGTGTTCCACTTGCGTTTTCTTGCATCAAAAAGGTCCCGATTCGAGCCCAGAGAGCGGGGCCGATCGATCAGTGTCTTGAAACGACCGTGTGGAAAGCTGGTTGCGGTGCGGCTTGCAAGGTCGTCAAGACGGGATCAAACCCCACGTTGACCTGTCAATGGTCCCATGGTTTTGGGCGTGCCTCGCTTCGAGCGATCCGACCGGGCAGGTGACGTGAGGAATCTTGTTGCATGGCGCGCCGCGCCAGGCTGATGCGGTTCAGACCGGAGGGGAGAATGAGCTTTTTTGCGATTTTGAGCAGTCATAATAGGCAAACCCTGCGTGGATCAATTTGCCGGTGGGATGGCCCCTCGGCTTTTGTGCTTTTTTTTTTTTTTTGAGGGATGCCCCAAGGAGCAAAAACCAAGCGGCAGAAGAGCTTCAGCTTGGCTGATTTGAAAGCCATCGGTGCACGACGTGGACAAGCTTGCTGTGAAGTGCAAGACTTGGCAGTCTTGACAACATCTGAGTGGTGCGGAAAGACTTGCCGGGTGAGACTCGCGTGATTTTCCCCGCGGCTTTCGAAGAGGAGGTCAGCTTTGGTATGTCTGGGAATTCGGTGATTTGGTGTTGTGCTTTGTTTTGTGCTTCGGGTCCATCACAAGAAGGTGTGCAGCTGCAAAACTTACAGGGTACGCGTGCCTAAGGTCCTATACAAACGGCGATGTTACTTCTTGTCACTCGGCAAGAACACTCGTATTGTATCATAGGCCAGTGGGAGGGTAACTTGAATTCTCTCAACAGCAGCTTTCAGGAGTTTGGATCAGTTTGGAATGGACAGGTTTGGGCGAGTTCGAAGCAGAATGGAACGTCACAAGTTGAATGAGCCGCACGCGGATCATTCGAGTCTTGAGCCCATAAGTACTGCTTCAGGAGGCGCGGCCCCTGATTCTGGCTGGAGGCCAACAAAATACCCAGCAGGGCCGGCTTGCCGACTCGGCCGACTTAATCCAGAGCCAAGCGAAAGGAGGCATTTGGCCATGGGCTTTTCAAAATCCAAATCGGTTAGCCCCCAGTGAACATGAACCAATCACCGCTAAAATAGGTAACCAATGGGTGGTGAATTCACCTACCAACCAAAATGGGATCCCGAAACGGTTTTGGCAACCACAGCCATTTAGCTTCGAAATCAAAGTGGGGACCTTGCTGGGGGAGCAGCACCTGTCCTATTGAACGAGCACTTCCACTGGGCTCCTTAAAAAATACATTTTGCTCATTTGAAACATGGCTTCTTCCACCAAAATACAGGGACACCACCATCTACAAGGCAATGCTCAGGTGTATAATGCATCCGGATCCCTGTTCCAGTGGCCTTAGGATGTTGATGACGGTCGGAGCCAGTCAGGTTCCGGCTTAAGGCGGGGGGAATTTGATTGCGGACATATGCCCAGCCCATTCTTCAAGAAATGAACCACTGGCCTTCACGTGAAAGGCGCCCATGCTTCCCTTTGGAGAAACGGCAGCTCGGATCGCGCGAACCTTGCGCGGCGCCGCTCAGCCCTGCCGTCGTGTTGAGCCCTTGGAGATCCGCACGAGCGCGTGTGCTTCTGTGGGGGTTCAGCCTGGCGTGCTTCCAGCAGGGTGAGACCATTTTCGTTTGAAGCCTTTGGGCAAAACGCGCCCGTGCCTGAGAGGCGGGCTCCTTGGCATGCTGCGATGCTTCTTGGTTTGTCGTCTTCGAAATGTTCCAGGCCTGTTCTGACAGGAACTCATTCACATATCGTGTGTGGCATCAAGGAACGTTGCTCGAACTCAAAGGAACATGAGAAGTCTTGTCGTTTTGCTTCACTCGGTCGTGTGTATTTCATGCACGCCTTGCGGTGCCCCGCTTTTTTGGAGCTGCTGGGACAGCCGGTCAGAGCTGCGGGCCTCTCGTCCTCGGAACCTTGGGAGCTTTGCGGAAGACCTGGTGCGACAAAGACAAAGACAAGCCATTCAAGCCATTCAAGCTCCGAACTCTTAATGGAAAGGGGCCTTTCTGACCCCTTAAGCTGCTCGACCGTTCGAAGGCTGGGGCCTGTCTGAGCCGGCCGGCGTTTTTCAGCAGCTCCCTGTAGGAATCCTGGCGACTTCCAGGGTTTTTTGGAGGGGGGCCGAGCTCGGCGGCTGGCTGGGCTTGACCGAAAGCGCCTGCCCCAACAGGGGGTTTTGGCCAAAACCCCTCGGGTGACGCTGAGTGGAATGGGCTGAACGGCCATCTGCCAGTCGCTGCCGGATTTAGCGGGGTAAGCCACAGCCAGGACGTGAAGACTCAAGAGCGATATCAGGCCAAGGCAACCATTTTGAGATGTTCAAGTCATGTTACGAAAGCCAGCTTAAGCTAGCCGAACTTTCCCCTTGCGTAAGCAAGGTAAGGGGCTGAAATGCCGAAAGAAGGAATTTCATCAAGCGCTTGGGAGGATCAAATATTTGGGCCACTCTTGCTCCAAGCCATCTCATGCAGCAGCTGCTAGCTTTCGTTCACCCCCCCTTTAGCTTGGAGAGTCTGAAGCATTTGGTCATCCCGCACTCGGTAGATGCCTGCCTGGGATGGCCCTCTGCAGGTCAACATGGGTTAGGGGGATGCTTCACACTCCACGCCGCAGAGCCGGATTCGTTTTAAAGTCTGACGCGTTCCCTTTCTTTGCCCCAACAAAATGTCCAAAGCTCGGCATGCGGGGAAAAAAGCACCCAAAAACAGATAAAACCACCTTTCCTTCCGCCTACAAAGGCTTGAGTTGGTTCCCACGGAAAAGGTTCCCACGTCCTGGCTGCCAAGTTTGAAAGATCCCGCTGTTTGTTTTATGTCTTGTTCCGCCCGTTGGGTAGTTCAGCGGGCTTGCCACAGAGCGTTTCAGGGCGGTTTTGCAGGGAGTGGGGCTGACACGCGCCGGTTTGCAATGCGAGACACTGTGAGGCGATCTGGAGGCCACTTGAATCGTATTCGCATTTTCTTGAGGTATTCAGACATGTTGCTCATAGCAACTCGAAGCTAAGGCTTCGCTTTCCGCCAGGCGAGGTTCTAGGGGTACCTTCCATTTCCATTCTTTCCAGGGATCCTTCTTTTCAGGAAACCATCAAAGTCCCAGGGGAAACGGACCCGGTTTTTGAAAAGAACGATGGTTGAACAGAATGGACGAGGAATCAACCCCAGAAAGGTGCCAGCTCGAGCATAGCCAAAGAAGTAAAGAAGCCCCTTGAGCCGGCTCCCGCATTCGACGCCCGCGAAGCTCGAATCGTTTCGTTTCCCAAAGTCGCGGCGGCACTGCCTTTCGGCCTTTCGGCAGCCTTTCGGCAGCGCGAAAAGAGGCGAGCTGTTAACAGGGATGCGGAGGATGGCAAGGGCTCCACGAGTTCAAGTGGCTGTGGGTCAAAATGAGTCACCACCAAGAGTTGGACCGCAGGTTTTAGTTCCAATGTTTCCATTTGCCAGTTTTTTTTTTGGGTACCTACTGTTTACCCATACCCAAGTGTCTCCAGGTCTTGCGAAGAGAATTTGCCACTTAAGACCTGTGCCAATGACTCGGCCAGAAAGCTCGGGATGGATGCAGCGTGGCTTTCACCATTTCTTTTTGGCTTTGGGTCAACACCAACGGGATCCCATTTCGGGGTAGGCGAATTCACCACCCATGTTAGAACCTATCTTGGTGGTTGGATTGGGTCCCGTTCACTGGGTACGATTCGGATTTTGAAAAGCCCATGGCCATCTGCTTGCCCCGGTGTCCGCCAGTGGGGCTCGAGAAACCCCTGCTCGAGCGCTCAGACCTGAGACTGAACTTATGAGCATGAAGCTCACGAGGAGACCGCCGTGTTGCGTCCCATGTCCGTTGTGGGCCGCAGGTCTCAAAGATACACGCTGGGCCCGATTTGGAAGCCTTTGTTTCAGGATCTGGGAGATCCTTGTTTCGCTACTGGCAGGGGCATACCGTTCTCCATTTCAGTACCCCGTAATCTTTGCTTCTAGCAGTCCCAGGAACAACGAACACAAGATTTGCTGCCGAAACGTGAGGAAGTTGAGGCCTGCCCGCGGTCTTAGCCTCACAAAAAGCTGGCCCTGCCATATGTTTTTAGGGTCCCAAAGCACGGTGCCCGATGGCCGCAGGCAAACCTGAGAAACTCCACGATGTTAGAATTCTAATGCATCGAGAGGCCGCAGCCTTCACCCTGTTGACCCTAAACCCAAACCTAGCCCAAGACGCTGCACCAACTGGAGGCTAGGCCGGGTGTGCTAGGCTGTCTGCTCGCCAAACTTTTTTTTTGCCACGGCAGTCGTTCAAGACGGCCATCATGGCCCGCCGTATTGCCGCCAAATTGGATGGCCGCAGGTCGCGAGAAGGTTTTTTGCTCGCTATTCTTGTGTCCCCTATGGCAAGCGCCATGGCACGCCACTAATGGGTTTGTACAGTGGATCTGGCCGGACGTCCATTGTCCATAGGTGTTGGCAGGTCCTTCCGAAAACGAGGGCTGTAGCTGAGACTGCACAACTGATGCACCGCCGCGAATCGCGAGGAGCTTGGGGCTCCTCATGCTTGCAGCTGCCGACCCGTGGGAGCCTATGACTGCGGAGCGCCGATGGGTCGATGGGGGAGATAGGTTGGGGAAGCTGCTGGGTTTGGCTGGGACTTGGCACTGATATATACTGATCATATGCGGACTGCAAGCCGGCTTGTCCACTTGCTGAACATCTTGAAGAGGCAATCTTGACCAATCCACCCGCCAAAACAGGCCCCAACAATAGTCAGAAAATTGCCCGAAATTTGGGGGGTCACTTGGTGAACAGCACGGTATTTGCAGATATGCATGTGACCCCCAAAATTCACCCTCCCCCCCCCCCCCCCCTTTTTTTGGCAAACCCTGTTTTGGGACCATCCTTGGGAGGTCATTTTGGGCAAGACTGGCAAGTGAGACGATACCAAACCAGGAAAACAGTATGTACAAACCAGCTGAGAAAGCTTGCCAAATATAGTGACTATTGCACGGTGACCAAAATATGATGGCAATACTTTTCGATATACTGACTATGTTTAGCAATATAGTGGCTATATTTTGTATTCTATTGCCATTTTGGTGGGAAGATCGGGGCCTGGGGTCCCCATATGAATCGATGAACCTACTTATACGCTTCCCCTTCTCTGGTGTTTTTTTTTTGCAAAGGCAAACATTTCCACGAGTACTAGAACAAAAAATATAAGTCATATTCAATATACTACTGTGGATGGACGAAATCCTGCACCACCTATTAAACTGGGAATGATGATTCCCCTGTAAATACCAACAAACAATGGTTCCCCATTGTTTCTCGGTGGTGCAGGATTTTGTCCACCCACAGTATCATGTTTACTGCGAATGAACCGCCGTGTTTGTCTCTATTTTTTTAAGCGACTGGTTAATAACATGCTCTATAACTTGAACAATACAACCGTTTTTTTTTCCCGTTATATAACTATGTGTGAAGACGACAGCAATGTGTTTGCGCTCGGGCAATGTGGGCCAACCTGTTCTTTTGGGGCCGTACCCTGCGCTCGACGGCACCAGGCGCCAGCCGCCAATGCTGTGGGGCGGGGGGGACTATTTTAATCATAAAATGCATTTCCGTCATTAACTATCATGAACATCAATCACAAAACCCCATTTATTTTCTGTTTGAAGGCGTTCTTTCCGTCTGCCAGGAGTGCGGCGTCCACATGCTGCAGACGCAGGCGGGCGCCAAGACCCGGCAGGCCAAGGGCGCGCGGCCCTGGCACTCTCGGAACTTCATTGGGGCCGCTCGGCCGCATGGGGCAGTTCTCATAGGTGTCCTTTTTGGTTGTTTTGGTCGGAAAAGAGGTGTCCTTTTGGTTTTTTAAGTGTCTTTTTTGGAAGGTGTGGGAGTCATAGGTGTCCTTTTTGCATTTTGCTGCTTGTTTTGGTAGAAAAATAGATGGCGATTCCTGGTTTACCTGGAGGTTTAGTCATCTACCCGGGCCATCTATTTTCCCTAAAAGGACACCTATGGCAGTTCTGCCCCTGAAGCACCCGGCCCGGGAATCCGGTTGGCGAGAAACAATAGTTTTTTTGTTTTTAATGGAAAAGGCGTTGGCTTCGCTGACGTGGTTGTGCCACGTCCCGTTTTCGGATGGGTGCTTGAAGTGGTCTGTTCGCTGCTCTTCTGCCATGAGGCTGGGTGGCACAGGCATGGGATGTTCCTGAACCACGAGCTGGTTTCCTCTGTGTTTTTAGGGCTTGGCGCGCCCATATCAGACATCGGGATGGTCGAGGAGAGCAGCTGGTGGGGGGGGGGGAGGTGTCAACCAGTGGTCAAGGCAATGCAGGTTTGCGCAAAACCAAACACGTTGACTAGCAAATGTAGAAGATGTCAAAGAAACAGTTCTACCACATGGTTCGTGCAGTTCGAGTGACAAGATTTGAGGTACGGCAGTCTTCTTGTGACGTCCCAAGCCAAAGATGGTGCTGCGTTTGTTGGGCGCGAGGCTGTGCAACCGACGGCCACGGGGCCGGCTGTGGCAGTGGGTCGTGGTGTTCCTTCAAGCCTGCATGGGCGTAGAGGCTTTGGTTTTACAGGTTGGATTGATGGATTCATGTGGTTTCTTTGAACCTTTTGACCTTTTGACGCTTGGTTGGCTTTGTTCAATGAGGAGCCCTGCTACGAAGGCACCTGCTGGAACGTTGAGGCCCCGATCCGGATGTTTACAGCTGCCTGCCCTGAACTGCTCGAAGCTTTTGGATCGCAGATGGGTTTTCTGGGTCCCCCGGCTAGGTGCCCTTTTACCCTTTTTGGGGGGAGGGTTCCCCTACTAAAATAGACTACAGAAAAAAAGGGTGCCCTTATTCTATCCTCTCTACTGAAGGACCTAGTTTTTGTGTCTGGCGGGATTTGGGCATACGCCATCTGCCACGCTTGTTGCTCTCTTTGGCGTGCTTGAGGGGTGCTTCTCTTTTCTGAGGCGATGGTGTAATGTTGACCCAAGATGAATCAACCCCTGTTTATGAATATGTGGGTGTCCCTGGTTTATTGGGGATTTATCACTTTTGGAGGGGAATATTATTCTTAATCCGGGGTCAAGACTATGGTTGTAGGTATGGTTTTAGGCCATCGGGATAGCCACCGCCTGGGTGCGACTCCTCTTTTGCTCAACACAAGTTTAAAAATGCCCCAAGAGGCTTTGCTTCACGCTTTTGCCCTTTGAATGTGGGGGGGGGGGTCGGCAAGCAAGCAAGCAACTTGAGTGGCTCCAAGCGCGCACGACTCCACGGGAGTCGGACTCTGACCAGCTCTCTTGGAGGGCCTGGGTGCGCTGCACACCCCCGAAGCAGGCCACCGTAGCGCACCTGAGCCATTCAATCCAGAGGTGCGTATTTTGCCTGGATGTCAGGACTTCAACTTTTTGCCAACTCGTGGGTTTTCCACTAAACCGCCAAAAGCTTAAGCTGTTAGGCTTTTAGCAGGGCTTCGCAGATTTCGCCGCCGAGAATCCATCGCTCCCTTTCCGGGGCTCGGAGCGCGTGCTTCCCAGGCCAACCTCGGCCGGGAGCTCCTGCAAAAGGAGCGGCAAGCGGCGGCGAGCGGATCCCGCTCGCTGCGTGTGGCCGGGATCATGCGGAATCCTCTGGACATGGTGGCGAGCCTTGGCTGAGGCAACGCGACACCATACTGCACTGGCAAGGGATGCCAAGATTCCCCTGTGTCAGAACAAAAAAAAAAAAGCAGCCGGAGAAACGCATGAAAGCTCGAACCACTCATCTACATTGCAGCATTGGCCAAGTTGTGTCCTGCAATCGAAGCCGGCACGGGAAACAGGGGAGGTCTGAAAAGTGCTTCGCAACTCGCTTGTTTGCAGTTTTTAAAGGCAATCACGAGAGCTCTGTTTGGGAGATGTTGCGGCTTCTACATGGTTGAAGGGGCAATCCCCAGTTTGCTGGTGTGAGCAGTTTCTTTTTGGTTGAGGCTGTGCGTAACTGGCTGTTGATGGGTGCGGATTGGGGCCAAGGTCTGGGTATTGCTACCACCACGCCGGCCACGAGTTGTTCGATCGCGTGATCGACGTGCCTAAGATCATGACATTGGACCCGGCCAAGGGCACCGCCTTCTTTGCCCAGCAGCAGCTTGAAATCCGGTCGCTTCCGGAAGCCCGTCGCAGGTCCCGAAGTCAATTCCCGGCTTCCTGTCTCCCCTTGTGCCCGCCCCTTGTCTCTGCTCCCGCTTTCCCTTCCTCTCCCAAGAAATGCCAGGCGCCGGGCAAGGGGACTCGGTATGCAGAGTCTAGTGGGGGGGGGGGGGATTTGGAGGATGTGCCGAGGCTCCTCCCCACAGTCCGGCGGATGTCGGAGGTGCTTCAGCACCCAGCTGACGACGTCCATGCAGCGCCTTTCGAGAGACGCTGTGGCCGCAGCTTTCCCGGCGGATTTTTGTAGGAGAAACGCATTTGTTTTGCCATGTGGGTGCGGCCCAAAACTAAACAGCTAGGGTTACGCAGGGTTTAGTTCCGGGGTCCATGCCATTCTGGTGCATGTTTATGAGCCACAGCCACGTCGACGTGCCTTTTTTTTGCGTCAAAACCGCCCTTTCCTAATTCATGCGCGGCGGAGACTATGCAGGGACTTGGTATGAAGAGGACTTGTTTGGAGCAGGCTGGTGAAAAGAGAGTGCTGGCATTCCCGGCACAAGTGCTAGCTTTCGGGGCATCCTCTCCCAAGTCGCTTTGAGCTTGCACGGCCAGCGATGCCACTAGCATTTTGCGAACGGGGGCCAGTGATGAAGCACTTGGTTGCTGAGTATTTCACGAAGGTCATACTCATTTCGTCCATGGCCCTGATCAGAAAGACCCACAGGGAAGCGGCTTGGGGCACTTGGCTGAGGATTGACGGAGTCGTCTGAGAGCTTCGACCGGGAGGTGGGCAAGTTGCTGCCTGGCGAGGGAAGTTCTTAGGCAACCTTCGCTCGCTTCGGCGCATGGGCCAGTGGGGGCAGACTGGAAATCCAATGCAAGGACCCCCAGCAGTGCCCTTTTACCTTTTCTTTTCTTTTTTTTTGGGGGGGAGGGTTCCCCTACTAAACTACACTACAGAAAAGGGGTACCCTTCTTCTAACCTCCCCTCTGGACCTCCAATGGGTTTCGGGCCAAACCCGTGCTGCCCATGGGGCCAAGTGGCTGCCAGGGAAAGCCGCGAGCTCTGCCTCAGATGCTCCCAGGTTGGACTTTTGGTTCGAGGACCTCTCCCCGGAGGAGCGGACCGCTGCGATGCAGGCGGCGCTTTGGACTGGGCGAGAGATGGTGCGGCGGGTGCGCGGATCAAATGGCCTTAACCGAATCTTAAATGAATGGGCTTGCTGCAAAGGCTATTTTAATAGGGGCCTTATTATGTAGGGGGCTATTGGTTTGGCGTTGGCGTTCACAAAGCATTTAGCATAGGCAGCATAGGGCTTGATTTGAAAGCGGAACTTGGAGGTCCTGTTTCACACGATAGCTTCTCCGACAGAAGGCCGGGAGTAAAACGTACGCCTGTAGATTGCAACATCCAGGTAGCCACCTGCAGGTTTCGAGTTATGTGGGCCCAGTATATTTCTTATCATTGCCATGGCGAAAGTTGGAAGGGAAAGGGCCGAACTGTGCCCTTGAACTTCACAGCTTCGCGCGAAAAGAATGGCAATGGGGGGGTCTTTTCGCGCGCCTTTTCGTTCGAGACTTGGGCGGAGAAAAATGATCAGTGGAACTGACTACGGGAATCTTGATTTGGGACAGCTGCAGTATCATGGGGGCTGGGGGAGAGCCCAATAAGGCGCTGTTTCGGGCTTATTGGGGCTCCCCTCAACCCCCCCCCCCCGCCCCCCTTCCCAGCAACATGGGCCTTGGATGATCTTCTTGCTTCGTCTTTGGCCAGGCCGCCCAGACGGCGGACGGACACCGCACCTCGATTCGCGAGAGCCGCCGTGGCGACGTTGAGTGTGTGAGGCTGGCGCGGGAGGCCGTGAAGGCGGGGGGGTGGGAGGGGGAGGGGGAGGGGTAGGGGGGGGAGGGGTAAGGGGGGGGAGGGGGAGGGGAGAGTGGGGGTACGGGTAGGGGGGTGTGGTGGGAGTTGGGGAGTGGGGGGGTGGGGGGGGAGGGCTTGGGGGAGGTTGGGGGAGGGGGGGAGTGGGGGGGTGGGGGGGAGGGCTTGGGGGGGAGGGGGACTGTGGAGAAGGCTTTGGCCTCCAAGGCGCCATTGCAGACCCCGAAAGATGTAGCAACCCCCGGTCAGCTGATGTGGCAAGTCTCTTGGATGTTGAGAACAGGGCGACCACCGGCTTGTTTTCCGATGCGCGAGTTGCAGTGCTATTTGGTTTTCCATCCAGTTCTGCGACCTGCGGTATTTGCCGGGTGTTTCCACTGAGATATTCTCACTTGCACATGAGGGTTTTGTCAACAAGCCGCAACCCACCCGGAAACAACCAGAACATGGAAGCCCGTCAAAAAGCCAACAAAGACAATGTTCATTGCCCAAGCTTCTATCATGGTTCCTTAGCAATCCAAGGCACATATCTAAAACGTGTTTTGCAGATGTCTTGCAATTCTTGCACAAGCTTGGTACGTGTCTAGGCTATGCCCTGGCCAGTGCTTGCTTTTGCATGGTTGGCGTTGAGCTAGCATCACATTTCCAGCAAACTGCAACATGCCTACTTTCTTTTAGCATATGCCCAGACATTTAGCATTGCCTGTGTCTAGCATTATTTCGGGAGAACTCAAGCCATTTTAACATGTCTACTGTACCAGTGCCTGGCAAACATGTTGAGTATGTTTTTTGTTTTATGTTTTAACATGCTGGGTATTCATGTCCAGCATGTGTCTGTGAAAGCAAGTAGGTCCTTAGGTTTAGAGTTTCACTGTAAAGTGGTTGGCCCATAGCAGCTACAAGTGCAACTGTCTAACTGTGCAAATCAGCTAAACAATGACATAAGTGCTCTCCCCCGGTTTCCTGCCCCCTTTTTTGGTGCTCGTTAAGTAGGGTCTGATTGGCTCAGGGCGACTAGATCTTAGCGCAAACAGAAGTTGAGCTGGTCTTGGGCATGCACGTGTATCTATTCTTTGCCACCCCTTGGCACAGAGGCTCGGCCTTCGGCATCTCTTTCTGCGGGTCAGGAGATGCCGCGGGAGGTCCTGGAAGAGTACTACTCGCATCAGCGGAAGCTCGGGTACCCCGTGGGCTGATCGGTTCTGCGCCGCCTTGCACGGCTTGAACGCCTGAAAGCCGCGGCTCAAAAAGGGCAACGTGGGGGGGAGGGGCTCGCAGATCCATTTTTGTTTAAAACTATTAAAACCATATATATTTTTTTATTATCCACTGTTGGTTTTAAAGGGAACCTATGACTACTGGAAATATTTAATTTTTTCCAGGGGGCTGAAGCAAACGGAAGCAAATCGTGTCAATGACCCGTACATGTCATGCGGGACTGCCATGAGCAAACCTTGAGGACATCGACCACCACAAAAGACATGAGCAAACAACCTGCAAGTGGAACAGGTGTGGTCGACATGATCACCCGACCGTCGAAAGCTGCGACACAAAGTGTTACATTTCACAAGAAGATGGCCCTAGTGTTGACATCAGTGCACACTACTCCTTCTACGAAGTCTACGTACGTCAAGGCTCTGTAGGAGGGTATGCCTCAACGCGGCGTTTTTCAGCCGCGTTTAAGCCATCCTTGCTGCAAATGACCGGAGGGCCTTCGTTTTCTGCCAGGCACAAAGTCTGCCAGGCAGGAAGGAAGGGGCCCAAACCCCCGCATCGCGCGGCGTCACGCAAAGCATGGCCTTTCGGCGCGAGCAAAAGAGGCGAGCAGTTACTGAGCGGGATGTGCAGATGATGGGCGCCAGGGCTCCTGGACGAGTTTCAACTTTATCCAGGTTTGGTGAACAGAATTGGCCACTTCAGACCTTGACTGCCAACAACTCTGCGGCCAGCAATTGGTGTTGGCAGGTTTTTTCAAAGAAAGCCCTTGGCAGCGTGATATGGATTCCCATTTCGCGGCTGGCTTCCGATCCCTGGGACGGTCACAGCGATCCGGCGCCAGCCTGGCTCGAGAAACCCCTGCTCGATGGGCCACCGACTGAACTTATGAAGCTCACGAGGAGATCTCGGGCCGGTGGTCAAAGCAGAAAGCGTCGGCGTCGGCACATGTCGGGACCCCCAAGCTTTTCAGAGAGATACACGCTGGATCCCCAGCTTGTCGCTTTAAAACGCAAAGGTGCACTGGCCGACCGGTGATTTCAGACACGCGCAACTAAAAGCAGCACGAACAACATGTAGGAGGTGGGGCACATGTAAACTCCCCGTCTGGATATTAATATATATATATATATATATTATATGTAAATATATATATATATATGCATGCATCTATGGATAGAAACATGGTGGATCTCGATCTTGCAGCGGCTACACATGTCCACATGTTTTGGCAGGAGGGCGTCCCTTCGATGCAAACAAGGGCTGTAGCTACGGGCGTGATGCAAAGAGCTCGAGCGGGTGCTGCGTGCTCGTTCTTTCCTCCGCCAGGAGCCTGGGGCTCCTCATACTTGCAGCTGCAGACCCGTTGGAGCCCATGGGTACGGAGCGCCGATGAAGCTACTGGGTTTGGGTACGATCATAAGCGGACCGGAAGCTGACGGTTTTTCTTGGGTCACAGCTGGGCGAGACCCGGCGGGTTCAAGGGGAAAGCAGGAGCAAGAGCAACGTGTGGGCCAGCCAACCTCATGTTTGGGCCGGTGCCCTGGTCTTGGCAGTCGGCGCTGGGTGCCAGATCGTTGTCCCTCAGCCCGAGTCTCGCGGGGAGGGGGGGCTTGGGGGAACAAAGCCTCGGAAACATCAGCCTTGCGAGCCTTGCTGTTATTGGGCCACTTAGCCACTTAGCCGGTCAGGTGGCTCAGTGGCCAAGTGGCCAAGTGGCCAAGTGGCCAAGTGGCTGCCCGACAAAACCGGCCCGAGTTGCAGCCGCTCACGTCTCGGGCTCTTTGCGAGGAGTGCGGCGTCCACATGCTGCAGACGCAGGCCTTCGGCAAGCCCGGGGCCAGGCAGCCCAGGGCCCCCTGGGAAGCCCGGAGCTTCATTGCCGCCGCTCGGCCGCAACGGGACAGTGCTCATAGGGTCCTTTTTTTTTTTTTGGGGGGGGGGGTCCAAACCAGGACCCCCCCTGTCAGATTCATGTGAATTGGTGGGAGCATAGGTGTCCTTCTTGGTTGGCTTGCTTAAAAATTAGAAGGCCCTGGTTTACCTGGTGGTTCAAGCATCTACCAGGGAAACCCATCTATTTTCCAAAAAGGACACCTATGGGCAGAAGCATCTGAAGCACCCTTGTCTCTTGTCTCAATGGGGGGGATTTGGGTATCTTTTCTATGGGGAGAAGCAGCAGCCGGTGAAAGGCGAGAAGCAGCAGTTGAAAGATCTCCGTTTGGTCTCTTCCGGTGGCCAGCTGCCGCGTGAGTGCTGGAAGCCCTGTTGCTTTCTGTTTTTTTGGCAAGATAGGCTTGTACGACCTTTAAATCTTTAACGTCCAATGATGTCTTAGTGGGGCTTGCTTTTGGGAGGAATGACATCTACACTTTCTTGGCTGAACAACTCAAGCAATTTTAAGCAATTGTTCAGCCATTTTTTGAGCGCGCTTGCCATGCCGGGGCTGTTTTTGCTTGCATTTGACGCGCGCTGGCTTTTTTTTGGTGCAGCGTCCCATGGGGATGTGCAGCTTTGTGGCCTGAGGCGGCCTGGCACAAGAGCGGGGTGTGGCTGGCTCTTGATCTGCTTTCCACGGTGTTCTTCGCCCTGGGCGCGGGCGAGTCGGACATCGGCTTGATCGAGGAGAGGGTTTTGGGTGGGCGAGTTGTGCCAGTCAACGGAGCTTTGCATGCGCCTGCGTGCGTATCATATCAAAGATGTTGATCAGCAAATGCGGAAGATGTGTGGGAGGAAATAGCTCTACCGCGGGTTTTGGTTTTGGTCGTTGGGCGTGAGGCTGTGAAACCGACCAACGCGATAGAATTTCAGAGCAGCTTGCCGCGGAAGGATTTCGTTCAAGCCTGGGGATTGCAGCCGCAAAGTTGGCTTCCGCTCCCTGGAAGGGGCTTTTGCATGTTGATGCCACGGTTTCTCTAAGGATCTCTGGGGTTCCCAAAGCCCGGGCGGGCAGGTGTCCTTCGCCTTCAGGAGCCTAGCTATTTCGGCTTCCGGGCCCAGAACGTGGCGGCGCCGATCCGGAGCTTCGTAGCTGCCCGGCGTGAGCTGCTCGAAACCTGTGGACATCTGAGGGTGATAATTACGGTAGATGGACAAATCCATTTCGCACCACGTTGAAACCATGGGAAAGCATCGGTTGTGGGGTATTTGCAGCGGAATCGTCATTCCAGGGTTTTCTTGGATGGTGCGAAATGGATTTCGTCCATCCACAGCAGCATGCTCGCACCATGGCAATTCGTGCTGCCGGCGGCTTTTTTTTTCTCCCCGCCCGCGTGAAACGAATGCCACTTGGTAACACCTTGGGCCAAAAAGGCCCGCCTTGTAGGCTCAGGGCCGTGGGGTTTTTGGGGCACCTCTCTTGTGACGTAAGGGGATGATCGCCTGGGATGGCCACGACGCCTCTTAAAACAAATAAAAATAAATAATAATAATTAAAAAAAAAACATCCCACCTTGCCGCCCAATGCCGGTGGCTTGCCCCAACATGATGTTTTGCAGCATGCCACTGTGCCCCCCCTCAGTTGCCCGTGCATTTGAGCTTGTCTGAGTTGCCCTTTCACGAATTTGATTTAGGAAGGCTCCGGGGGGGAATTCCCAGGGAGTGAGCTTGGGGAAATGTGAATTTGGGTCTCTTTTCTCGCGCGGTACATGGCCACCGATTGTCAACTTTCCCAGAAGAAAACCAAAAGAGATGGATCGATTTTTTCAGGCCCATGTACAGCTTGGTGCTCTTTGCGGGCCAAGTTGTGTTGCTTGCCTGCTAAGTTTGTCACTCGTTCCTGGAGTTCGCGTATCTCATCTCTGGGAATCTGACAGACAGCTCTCTTTGGGAAGGAGGCGCCTTGATGTTGGACCAGCTGAAGCGCCAGGCCATCCATTTGGCCGAACAGGCCACCGTAGAACACTTCAGCCATTCAGCCTCAGTTTCCCTTGGAGCTCATTCACTAGCTACGGAGCTGGCGTCATCCAAGTTTGCTTTTACAGAGGGAGCTAAGGAGCCAACAGGAGTTTTGTGAGGACATGGTAGTTCATCTTTCTTTTGCCAAGGAGCCAAGTAGCTGGGGGCATGCAAATGTGCTTCTAAAGAGGGAATGCTTTGTGAGAGTTCAGCTTCAAGGACAACCTGGGCTTGGAGCTACTGCAAAAGGAGCGGGCCTCTGCGGCGAAGAAGGCCCGCTCGCTGCGTGTGGCCGCGATCGTGCGGAACCCTCTAGACATGGTGGCGTGCCTTGGCTGAGGAAAAACAGGATGCCGCCCATAGGTGTCCTTTTGGTTGCTTTGGTCGGAAAAGTCGAGGGCGATTCCTGGAAAAAGCCTGGTGGTTTAATCATCTGCCGGGGAAACCCATCTATTTCCCTTCCCTATGGATGCCGCCCTGTCCTGCGGTCCTGCAGTCCTGCAGTCTTGCAGTCTTGCGGTCGAAGCCGGCTTTCGGGAAACACGGTGAGTCGGCAACTTGCCTTGCAGCCTCCGTTCGCGCCAATGTGATGTTATGGGTCGCGCGACCTCTTTGCGCGGCTTCTATGTGTTGATTGCGGCAATCCCAAGTTTGCTTGTGTGAGCATTGTTGTGGGGGCTGTGTAAATAACCAATGGTTGAAGGTGCGACCTAGAGCCAAGGTCTGGGTACTGCTACCACCATGCCGGCAACGAGAAGCTCAACGTCATGTTCGCTGGCCAGAACGCCCTGCCTGTCCTCATGACAATGGACCCGTTCAATGGCACAGCCTTTTATGCCAAGCGGCGCCTTGAACTCAAGTGGTGTCTCTCGCTCTTTGCGTCCCGTCTCGAATTCTTGTGCCCTTCCCTTCCCTTCTTCCTCCTTTCTCGGTACCCTTCTCCCTTCCCTTCTCCCTTCCCCCCTTTCCCTTCCCGGCTCCTTTCCTTTCCATTCCCTGCCTTCCCCTCTTCCCTTCCTTTCCCTTCCTTTCCCTTCCTTTCCCTTCCTTTCCCTTCCTTTCCCTTCCTTTCCCTTCCTTTCCCTTCCTTTCCCTTCCTTTCCCTTCCTTTCCCTTCCTTTCTCTTCCTTTCCCTTCCTTTCTCTTCCTTTCCCTTCCCCTCTCTTCCCCTTTCTTCCTCTCCGCCTTCCCTTCTTCCCTCCCCTTTCCCTCCTTTGCCCTCCACGCCAGGCAAGGGACGGGGTTTCAAGAGTGAGGGGGAAGGGGTGGATTTTGCCGAGGCTCCTCCCCCTTGTCCGGATGATGTCGGAGGTTTTTGAGCACCAAGCCAAGGATGTCCTTGCACTTTCTTTCGAGAGCCGCTGTGGTCGCAGGTTTGCCGTCGGATCTAGAACTACTAGTTGGATCACCGGACATTTTGTTTAAACCATCTTGGGTTTGCCAGGCAGCGACGCCACTAGCGCGATTTTGCAAGCACCATGGACAAAGCTTTATGGTTGCCAGGCTTAGGGTCATGGCCTGTCATAGCCAGCTCTTCCGTATGATGGCCCCTAACTCACATTCAGGGCAGGGGGGGCATGGTGCAAGGATTGACGGAGTCGTCCGAGAGCTTCGACCAGGAGGTGGGCAAGTTGCTGCCTGGCGGAAGTTGGGGGCAACCTTCCCTCAGTTTGGCCGCCAGAGACACGTCGCTGCATTGCGGGAGCGGCGGTGCATTCGTGAGCCAAAGGGGAAATGGTTGTTTGCGACGGCAAGTTTGCGAACGGAAAGCGTTGGGGTTTGCAAGGGAATCCGCTCGCATGAGCTGTGCGTGAACTGAAGCTTAGCGCAAGAGAGGCCTGTGCGTGCGTAAGCTTGCGGGAACATCTTGACGTAAGATATCCTTACGCGCTACCTAGATTTGAGCAAGACTTCTCGGACGCCGTTCAGGTGCAGCTTTCATGCGCGCGTGCATCTCCTTAGCTTTGCGCGCGCGCGTTGCCTGCGCGTCACGAAGGTGATGCTCGAAGACGCCTGCAAAGGATCAAAGTAGCCGATTGGCTCAAGTGAACCAGCCTGTCGGGACGCGAGGTGCAGGTGGTACAAGATGGCCGTGCCAGATGAAGAGGTCCAGGAGGTGTTCAAGCTCTTTGACCAGGACGGCTCGGGGATCAAGATCAAGGAGATCGGGACCGTCATGCGGAGCTTGGGCCTGGCAGCCTCCGAAGCGCAGCTAAGGGAGTTCAGGACAGAGGCCGAGCAAAAGGACTCGGCCTTCGTGCAGTTTCCGGACTTCCTGAGCTACGTCAAGAGAACCTAGGTCCTCCAGTAGAGAGGTTAGAATAAGGGTACCCGTGAAGCCGTTTGTGTGTCTTTTTTCGGTCTTTTCGAGAAATAACCGGGTTTTTTTCATGAAACGTCGTTTTCCCAAACGCCGACCTTTTTTGGAGTTTCGTGGGTAGAGTGCATCTTGGAGAGCCAAACAAGGGCGGAAAAACCCGGAACAAAGGCGGAAACAAGCGGAAAAGGGCGGAAAAAAAATCGGAAAAAGTAAATGTCTTTCCAAACAACGATCTTTATTCCGAACAACGACCACAATTTGGTGCTTTTTGCTCGAAGGCATTTTTTTTGCATTTCTTTCCGCACACATGGGCTTCGCAGGTACCTTTTTTTTTTTTCTGTAGTCTATTTGAGTAGGGGATAAAAAGGGCACGACTGGTTGACCTAGGAATGGAGAACGTGGAGGCCAACAAGCACGTGGACGTGGCCAAGGAGATGGCGGGGATGCAGGTCGGGCTCCTTCACTTCTTCGACAAGTTGTCGACCAAGCAAATTCGGGACAGCCCGCTGCAGTCGATCAAGCTGGCCGACCTCAAGCACGTCACTTGACTGCTGGGTTGGATCTTTAGACTTCAACCTTTTTGGTTGAAATCAAGTTGGGTTTTCCACTCAACCCCCAAACAGTGATTCACTTTTTGCTGGGGGGGGGGGTCAACAGCAACCAAGGTCATGTCCTCCGTTGGCGAGAAGATGACAGAGGAAGAGCTGGAAGAGATGGCGCGAGACATCCGCAACAGCTGCCGGAAGGAGGAGGATGGCAGAGTCAACTTCGAGGATTTCGTGAACTTGCTGAAGTGAACAGGGCTCCTCAAAAGATCTCCATTTTGCAACCATTTGAAACATGGTGCTTTTTCCACAAAAATAAAGGGACACCACCATTTACAAGGCTTTGGTGTATAATGTAAGGATCCCTGGTGAAGGCCGAATTCATGTCTCACGCTCCTCCAGAACAAGATGACATACGCGCAGCTGCTAGGAAAAAAAGAGACCTCCAAGCACAGTTTCGCAGCAAATGAGCCCATGGCAAAACATTGCAATCCGACAAGCCGTCTTTCAATGCCGAGGTTGTCTGTTTGCAGGTCTTGTGGAGCACGTTTGCCGCATGGTAAGCCCGGTCGAGCGCTCGAGCGCCTGCGAGCTGCGATTTTCCGCGCAGTGCTGCGCTTCGGCGCCTGCCGAAGCGCACGCCAAGCCAAGCTGCTTTCTATGATTGTTCTTGTTCGGCTCGGGGGGGGGGGGTTCAGGGTGAAGGGTGGGGGTGGTTGGTCTCTTTTTTTTGGGGTTCCAGGCCGGGCGCCATACGAAAAACTCGCCGCGTAGAGACCAGGTTTCAAACGCGTAGCTTGGTTGTGACAGCCTGGGGGGTTGAAATGTGGGATTCAGACCACTTTTGGAGGGGAACACCCCCCAGGTTGGTTGATTTATATGGGGTCAGCATTAGTCTGAAGCCCACCCATTACCTCAAACAACTTCACCGGCGCGACAACATGGAGCATGCCTGGCGTGTGTGGCAAGTCAGCGGGAAACTACACGCACGCCCCCCTGCCTTCCTCAGCTGCCTTTAAAACGAATTGTTGCCAGTGGAAAAAAAGGCCCACATCACAAGCCTCTAAAACAAGCTGCCTTTGCCTGAAACAGATCAGCTTCACCCAAGTGCGCCTCAGCTCCCAATTCCCAGGTTGGACTTTTGGTTCGAGGACCTCCTCGCCCCAGACCAGCGGAGGATCGCGCTGGAGGCCGTGGGACAGCGGGACAGCGGGACAGGGCGAGACCACGCGGCCATGCGGCAATGACCTCAGACCGTGTGATGCAGACGCCGAAATTCTTAACCTAATGCATGTTTTGGTATAGGAGAAGAATGGGGAATACGAGACTTTGGATGTAGAGCGGCACTAGTTGCAATGGGCTGCCAGCGTTTCTGAACAAGCGCATTTCTGAATTATGCTCATCAGACATGACCCCGCCTTAGCAGCGTCTCCCTTTGTTTCTCGTTCCCGGACGCTTGTTTTAGCGAACGCGGTTCGCACAAAGGCGCTTCTTGGCCAACAGGCTCATTTTTTTTTGAAGTATTGGCCGGCGCTTTCGCGGAAAGCAAGGAGATCGGCAGAGCCATTGGACGTGGCCTATTTTGGGGTCGAAGGGGTGAAAGAAGGGTGAGGGTGTTCCCCCAAAAATGTGTGTTCTGCATCACCAACATGTCAAGCTAAAGCTTGCCACGAATCAAAGTGCCAGCCGCCACCCACAAGCACGAATCCTGGACTGTATTGTCAAGTGTGCATGATCACTATGGCCCATCTCGATGTGGCAACAGTTTCTTCTTTAACAACACGGGAGGCAACGATGCCAAAGTCTGTCACGCCATTCCGGGAAGCCTGCGCGTTCCGACATATATGTTAGGCGTTGTTTGCCCATCATGGCGAGATTTTGAAAGGATGGAAGGCAAAAGGTCTGAACTCACATGCCATGCCCTCCATGCGGTCCAGTGTTCGATGCCTCGGGCCATGAGGTTCCGCTGTCACCAAGTCTGTCGCGCCCTGGGCGCGCTTGTTTTTGCTTCAACTAGCATTGACTGCCATGCTAGGGGGGTCCAGCCTGACTTTGAGGATGAGTTGGTTCGAGTTTGGGAGCTTCAGGTAGGTTTTGCCTTTGAAAAAAGCGACGGCTTGGCATGCGGCATGCCTTCGTCACGTGAGTCGTCTGCTTTTCGGAGGCGGCCCAGGGGGCGGATGAACACCGGAACTCACAGCGCGAGAACGCCCCCGATCCTGCGGCGCCGCGGCCTGCGATTCGTTGCCCTAGGTGTCCTTTTCATCGGTTAGTTTGATTTAAGATAGATGGCACTGGGGTAGGTGGGGTTTCTTCCATTAACCAGGGCCATCTATTTTCCCAAAAGGCCACCTATGTTCGTTGCTTCTTTCTTCTGCTTCTGCTTGGACAAAAGACTTGGTTCTGCTTCTTGCGGGATGGGATGTCAACTCGGCCAAAGCGACGAGGTTTGGCCAAGAGCCGATGTGTTCGACTTCATGTACTAATTCCCACGACCCCCCTGTAGACATTGACTTTCAACCACGGACACGTGTCAGGTCAAACAAGATTTTGTTTTAGTTTTTTTGAGCGTGTTTGTGTGCTTTTGTTCACGCTTGATGGGCTGCGGAAAGGAGCAAACCGTGCTTGGTGGTGCGCCATTTACCACGCGTGTTTGGCTGCACCTAATAGTTATCAATGTCGCTTGAGAGCGTTAGGCGCGGAATGTGCATGTTTTGGTTGCGCTCCATTAATTTGCAACTTTGCTTTTCATGCTTGATGGGTTCTGCGGAATCAGGGTGGAATATATGGTTCGGACGCGCAACCAATCTCTCATAAGCTCTTCTTCGCTCTTTGCGCTGCCTCGTGTCAAAGGAGTCAACCTTCGGAGTATTTGCTTAACACAGCCTTTACTACGGCATTCTTACTGTTCCCCCGCCACACACGCACGCAGTGTTTCGCGCGTGCTGATTCTTTTGGCATCTTCTGTCAGAGTGCCCAGCTTGTTTTTGCGGCACCACGGAAGTTCCTCCCCAAAAAATAAGCCAACCCCAAACCGCGACTTAAAACCAGCACTAGGCCACGCCCACACCACGATAAATCAACCCCAAGCCCTAACCACACCCTAAACCGCTCGTAGCCATCCCTAAGCCACGCTAAATCAGCCCGAAGCAAACCCCTTAAGCCAGCCTCAAACTCACACTAAACCAACTGTGAGGCAACCCTGAGCAAGTCTTAAAGCAACCGTAGACTTAAACCACCAACACGAATCCCAAAAACCTTACCCACTGCAAACAAGCCCAAAGCAACCTTGAAACAACCCTGAACCCTCCCAAGCCCGCCCTAAACTAACACTAAGCCGATCCCAAAACATCTGAGCCAGCGCTGAGCCATCCTTAAGCCTTAAACCACACTAAATCAACCCGAAACAGACCCTAAGCAAACCCTATACCAACCCTAAACCCGCTTGAATCCACCCGAACAAATTCTAGGCTTGCTCTAAACCAGCACTAAACCAGCTTAAGCCAACCCGAAACTTTCAAAACCAGTTTCAAGCTCAAACCAAACCAGCGCTAAACTTGCCCCAGGCCCCAAGCAAACCGTTTCCAACGTTAGCCACAACCAACCCAAAATCCATTTAAACCAAATCAAAACCCAGAGCAGACTCCTAAGCAAGCCAGCCCTATACCAACCCTAAGCCGGCACTAAACGCCAGCCCTAGAACACCTTAAGCCTACCTTAAACCAACCCTGAACAACAACTAAGCCAAGCCTAAAACACAAAGTACGCCCACCCTAAACCCGCCAGAAACCTTAAACCCAGCCTAAACCAACCCTAAACCATCTCTCTTGCACGCAATCAACTTGAGACAAGCCCCAAGCAAACGCTGTTGGCACACAGCCAGCGCTAAAGCATCCCTAACTAAAACCAGCGTAAACCTGCCCAAAGGCCGCCGGAAGCCAGCCCTACATCCACTCCAACCCTAAGCAAACCCTAAGCAAAGCCTAAACACAGCACTAAACCAACCCGACGCCAACCAAAACCCCACACTACAGAAATCCAAGCCCCGCCCAAACCCATCCAAACAATCAGCCAAAGCCGAAGCTTCTTGTGGTGTCGAAAACGATGCGAGGGGTGGCTGGGGATAAAACAACAAGGAAAGTGACACTGCTGCGTTCGCTGGACTCACCAAGCTCGCTGTTCAGAGTTGCTTTCCGTTTGCAATCTGGACCGCTGCGTTTGCTGGGTTGGCCCAACTCGCTGCATCAAGTTGCCTTGATGTTGGCACTGTTTTTGATTTTCCTTTGAACAGCAGTACTTGCTGGATTCTCCCGACTCGCGGCGCAAAGTAAAATAATTATGTAATGTTTATGCAATGTAATGTTTATCCACCTCATTTCCTTGAAGAAGTGCAGCGTGTACTGCGTGGCTTTCTTTACACACAAAAGTTCGTAGGGACAGGTGTTGCCCATACAAAGGTTTGTAGGGGCAGCTGTTGCCCCTACAAAGGTTTGTAGGGGCAGCTGTTGCCCCTACAAAGGTTTGTAGGGGCACCCTGTTGCCCCTACAACGCCCCTACAAACCCCACTACTTAACGAAGCATTTGCCCCTACAATGCCCCTACAAAGGTTTGTAGGGGCAAACGGGCTGCCCCTACAAACCTTCGTAGGGGCAACGCCTGCCCCTACAAACCTTCGTAGGGGCCACGCCGGCCCCTACAAACCTTTGTATGGGCAGCACCGTGGCGCGATATGCTCTCAGTGTCGCGCTTTTTGTTGCTTGATCATCTATGATGGTTCCATGGTGTTGAACGCCTTTGACAGGCATGCCCTTACCCCCCAGACTTAAAAGAAGTCCGACCTGGGAAGTAATTAAGGAGCCCTTCTTCAAATCTAATTCCAGCAGAAGGCTCTAGAAATTCGTAAACAGACGGACATTCAAATCCAACTTCAGCGGAAGGCTCCCGCGATACCAAAACAAGCAGACCTTTAAGTCCAAGCAGAAGGGTCACAATATAGTAACTATATTTCTCCCATATTACAAGCTAATCGAAATTCAACCCGATGTCAACAGAAAGCTTCGGCGATATTCAACACTTCAAAATCTGAATCCAATTTTTGCGCAGGAGACTCTAGCAATACTGGCACAAGCCTAACCTAGATCCAATCTCAGCAGGAGGCTCCAGCAACACTAAGGGAAATGGATCTACAAATCCAATCTTGGCAGAAGGATCGATTTGCACCGGTAAAGCAAATGGAACTTCAAGCCCTTTCTCTGCAGAAAGCTTCAGCAATATCAAAACAGCTGAAACCTAAATCGTATTTGAGCAGCAGGCTCCAGCAATATGAAAACAAGTTAACATTCAAGCCCATTCTCGGCAGAATGCTCGATGAATTCTCAATCACATGCAAAAATCTACTAAAAAGACTGAAACTCAAATCTGCCGCTCGAAGCTCACATTTAAGACATTTAGCCGCTGCAAGTAAAACTGGGCAAATGTGGGCAACGTTCCTGGGTTTCGATTGGCAAGGGGGGAAGGGGGGCTTACTAATCCTAGGCCGAGGTAGTGGAGCCAATGGCTGTTTGACGAACATGCTTAGCTTAACTGCGACTGCAAGGCTGGGGTTGTTGTGCCATCATAGTCGGGAAAAACAACAAGGCCGCAGCCGAGAAGCGCTGGTTTTTTTAACGACTCCACTGGACTCAGACAGGGGGGGGGGCTTGTGCAACTGCACATGGCGAGGCTTTGCGATGAGCTCCATGTCTACCCCTTCCGACACACAGGTTGTGCCCACCAACCCTGCGTGGCGTTTGCCAACCTTTTCGGGGCAAACATTTTTTGTGTATTAAGGGTCCAGGGTTGCAACGGGCTGCTTGCCGCCTAACATCAGCAAGGTTACCACGCACTGTTTCCTATTTCGCGCGTTGTGTTGTGTAAACTACATGTCCTGCTGTGTGGGCAGCACCGTATTGCTTTTCTGTGTGTATCTCAAATCTTGTTCAGCACGGCGAGTCTGCAAGGGCTAGGTTGCTCCCCAACATCGCCAACGCTGTCAATAACTACACAGTCCCAGCCCGCCAGCTTCGGTTTTGTTTTCCGCTTGTTTCGAATTTTGGGCTTTTATTTTTGAAAACGAATGCTTTGCTTTGTAACGGCAACACCCGCCTCCCCCGTGCAACATATGCCGCGTCCACGAGCCGCTGTTGGTTGCTTGCCGGGATCCATTGCTGTTGGATGCAGTAAGCTTTTGCGGTATATACCCACCTGAATGAAACTAATGTTTTTCGAACTGTGTCCACCTGTTTTGGGCTGACTTTTTTAAACTAGGTCGATTGGTGTAGGGGCAACGCCCGTTTTCCTCGCACAAAAAAATCCGTACCCTCGCGGGAATTAGTAACTTCATGTACTCAAAGTTGAGAACTTCACCCCTCTTAGGGTCTTAAGTGCGTGTGTGTGTGAGAGAGAGAGAACTTGGGGGCCCATTTCAATGTGGCAACACGTACACAGGGGGCCAAGGTGCCCAAATAGCCTGCAGGTGCCGAGTCATGTGAACCCAGTATGTCGTTGATCGGCTCATGGAGGCCAGTTTTTGATGCTTCCCTGGGCCATGAGGTTCCGCTCCGGTTTTTTGGATGAGGAACCAAGGCTGTCAGGCCCTACGCGCGCGCATTTTTCAAGCAGCATTGACTGTCGAGTCGCTTTAACTTTGGGAGCCTCAGGTAGGTTTGGGCCCGAAACACGAAGACTGCATGGCATGCCGCAACTTTTGATGTGAGGAGAAGATGACGCATCAAGACCGGAATTACGCGGAGGATCGTCAGAACCACGGCAGCGACCCTGAGTGCATAAGGATCGCGCGCGAGGCCTTAAAGGCGATAGGGGGGGGAGGGGGGGAGGGGGGGAGGGGCTGATGTGTCTGAAGCTGAAATGAAGGCCCAGCCCCGTAGATTTGCGCAAAACAAGGATGCTACACGCAGGGGCCCTGGAAACCCCAACGATGTTGACACGGGAACCTCGCAATGTGGCCGTAAGGAACTGAAGCCTTGAAGCAGGGGTAGCTATTTCGCAATGCCGGGCTTTTGTCTTCAGAACGGGCTTTGAAGACATTGTTCTTGTTTTTTTGTTGCTGTTGTTGCTGCTGCTGCTGTTGTTGCAGTGGTGGTTGTCGTTGTCGTCGTGGTGGTGGTGGTCGTGGAGTCGTTGTTGTCAATGTCGTTGTCGGCGGTGTCGTCGGTGTCGTCGTCGTTGCCGTCGTGGTCGTTGTCGGTGTCGTCGTCATTGTCGTCGTGGTCGTGGTCGTTGTCGTCGTCGTGGTCGTCGTCGTGGCCGTTGTGGTGGTGGGGTTAGCGCAGTTTTTTTCTCAGAACGGGCTTTGATGGCTCGCGTGTTTTTTGTTTTGTGCGTTGTTCCTGACTGTTCCACAGAAGTTTGCCTGCTTGCGCTCGAGAGTATTCCTCAAACAGCCAGGCAAAAACCAAAAACACTCCATCACAAATCGGAAGTGTAACATCTGAACAGCCAGAAACAGAAAGCGCACGCAACAATTGTCAGGATATTTCTGCCCAAGTTCAGGGACCTTGAACGAGTGTTTACGACTGGCAAGTTTGATTTTTGCTTGCTTCATTGCTATTGTTGTTGTCGTGGTGCTGATGGTAGTGGTGGTGGTGGTGGTAGCGGCGGCGGCGGCGGTGGTGGTTGTGGTTCTTGGTTGTTGGTTGTTGAAAGGTTGTTGCTTGTTGTCTGTTGCATGTTTCTTTGCTTTGCTTTGCTTTGTTGTTTTGTTGGGTTGTTTGTTGTTTGTTCGTTGTTGCTTGGTTTTTGGTGTTATGGTTGTTGCTTCTTGCTTCTTGCTTGTTGTTGTTAGTAAGTCTTACAGTGAGTGAGTCGGTTCGTTTGTTCGTTCGTTCCTCGGTCAGCAAGTGAGTGAGTCAGTTCGTGTGGTCTAGTCCAGATTAGTTTAGTGAGCTACTTGGTCAGCAGTTAGTTAGGCAGTCAGTTGGGCAGTTAAGTCAACTAGGTGTTTTAGCTGGTTAGTTGGTGGACTAGTTTGTTAGGCACCTAGCTACTTAGTTGCTTCGTCAACTGTTGTTGCCTGTTCTTGCTTGTTGTTCTTGTCGCTTGTTGTGATTTGCCGTTGCTGCTGCTTCCGCTGTTGTTGTTATTTTGCTGTTCTTGAACTTCGAACGCATTTGTGTGCAAAATTGGGAGGGCCTTCAGAAAGAGTCAGTGTTCAGGCTTACGCTTTTCAACTTCACCTCGCCGAACCTCAGACGCAGCGGGGCGCCTGCGGGATCCGCAGCGCGCCGCAAACTTCCCGAGCGACAAATCCATTTCTCTTATTTGGCCTGGGGTGGGGTTGTTTGCGTGCCTTGGTCCAAACAACAACCCCCAACATTTGCTGGAAGAAACCGGCCTTTGCTGTCGACCTCGGCCGGAAGTCGGAAGTCGGAAGTCGGAAGGCGATGCCGCGAGAAGTTCTGGACGAGTACTACTCGCATCAGCGGAAACTCGGGTACCCCGTGGGCTGACCCTGGGCGCTGTGACATGTGACCCTCTCCTAGTGGAGCGGGCCATGTGAGAGTCTGAGACGCGGAGTGAGTTCAGATGGCGAGAGAGTTCCAATGTCAGGTTGAACTAAACCCATGAGTTAGCTTCCATCTCAAGTATACTAAGTATGACAAGGGAACCGTGCTAGGTGAGATTATTTGCCAAGATTTGCTTTCGCTTTGTCTTTCTTTGTTATTCTTTGTCTCGCTCTCTCTCTCTCTCTCTCTCTCTCTTTCGCACTTTCTGCGTGTCGTCTATGTTCTCGGTTTTCTCTCCTTTGTCTCTTCAAACTGTCTGGTCTCACTTCGCTTCCCTCTCCATTGCTCTGTGCTCTCTTTCTCTTCTCCCTCCTTCCTCCCGCCGTCTCCCTGTTCCTTGCGTTCCCACCGTTCCCCTGTTCCCATCGTGCTTCCCCCCTTCTCCTCCCCTCCCTTCCCCCTCCCATCGTGCTTCCCCCCTTCTCTTCCGCTGCACTCCCCTCCCCTTTCCCTCCCCTCCCCTTCCCTTGCATCTTCCTCAGCACCAACCTGCCAAGATCAGAGTTCGGCATAAGGGTGATGAGTTCTTAGCATGGCTCTCGAGTGACTCACCCTGCGATGGTCTTGGGCACAGGTTTCATTTCGGAACAGCGCAGGGCCTGCATTCAGTGCGGCCGCCTCCCAAGACTTAAATGGGTATGGGTCAAGATTAAACCACCAGGGGACCGCAGGTTTTAGTCCTTGTTTCCATTTGCCAGGTTCCATTTTGGGCACCTTTTTTTGACCCACACCCAAATGTTCTTTGCAGGCCAAAGACAGCTTGCGATCAGAAAAGGCAGGCTTGAGCTTGCGCAGGCTGTCCTGGCTATATTGTCGGAGGGGAACGGATGGGTCTTCTTCCACCCTGGGCCGCCATTAGAGAGAATGAGCAGACCCTCCAAGGAGACCCTCCAAAGGTGAAGGACATGTTCAATACAACATCCTTTTGTTGTAACTAAAGAGTGCATCACCGTAAATGAAGGGCTACCTAAACGCCGTAGAAGCACTGGTGGGCTTTGTCAAGTGGGGGAAGCGGGAGGGTTCAGTACCCCCACCTCCCCCACTTTACCTCCCCGACTCCACCCCACCCCCACTCCACCTTCCCCACTCCACCCCACCCCCACTCAACCTCCTCCACTCCACCCCACCTCCACTCAACCTCCTCCACTCCACCCCACCTCCCCCCCCACCCCATCCCCCCAGCCGAGGCCGGGCAAGGCGGTGCCTTTTCAGAACCTCTCGGCTCGGCCGGTGCTGCTGAGCCAGGCCATGGGGGCCCTGGCCTGAGAGACGAGGAATCCGGCGGCATCCGCCGGGATCCGGCGGGATCCGGCGGGATGTGAGTGGCGGGGTGGGAGGTGTTGCGGCCAAATCTGGGAGAGCACGCTGGACCATAGGTTTTGCTTGAAATAGATGGGTTCCACTGGTTTAGATGGGGGTCGTTCCATTTACCAGGGAATCCCATCCATTTTCCAAAAAGCACTGCAATTGACTTTGACTGGAATGTGAGCCCTGGACTCCTGTCAACAGTACAATCTGTACTTGGACTGGACCGCTTCTGCTTTGGTGCTTGTGAGTGCGACCTCATCTTTTTGGCTTTGGGAGGTGTGACAAGCGCAGCTTCCTCGCGTTAAAACGCCAGCTGAGGCAGAGACGGGGCTCCAGGTGCGCGAGCGTGAGCGGAGTCTTCGCCACGTCGCCCGGTTTCGCAAGGGTGCCGTCCCCAAGGGACCAATGGTTCCGGCATGGGGTTGTCCAAGCAGACAGTTGATGGTGGGTCATTGGTTGCCAGTCTGGCACGGCTGTGTTTGGCAGGCAAGGTCTCGGGATTGTCTTTGGGGGGGTGGAGGGTTCAGAAAGCCGCATTAGAATCAGCTTCCCTTAGCCTTCATGAGTCATTTCTTGAGGGAACCTTTGTTTGTTTTTATGAGTTCGTCTTTTTTTGCTGGTACCTCAAAAATGGTTGTTTTCCTTTTGGGTTTCCATTTAAAGCCACCAAAAAGGGGTACCATGAAAAAAACGACACACCCTTATGGGAGATGAAAGGGAACCACGCATTTCCAAGGACGGATTTTGGGAGAGATTCATTTGGCACCCGTTCTCGCGTTGTTTTCGCTCCAGCCGGAGCCCGACTCGGATAGCCAGGTGGGTGAGGATGTGGAAGCCTTGAAGACGGGCCGCCACTCGGCGCGGAGACGGAACCGCCGTGGGAGAGGAAAGGTCAGCCGTGGGCTTCCTTCCGGTAAATTTAGCTCACGCTAGGATGATAGATGCACATATTTGTATGCATATATACAGCTCACACACACATAGATATATATATATATAGATGTCACACACACATATATAGATGTGTATATATATATATATATATGTGGCCAAGGCAGAGGCGTAATTCGCTTGCAGCGCTTGGGGAAGTGAACCAAGGCCAATGACTTGAGCAACCTAGCCAAGGAGGGTGGGCACCTGCTGAGCAATTGACCATTGCGTCTTATATTTTGGTCAACTATGCCAACCAGCACCACGCAGAAAGACAAAGACTAGCAACGCCATAGTTTTCACTTGCTAGTCTGCATTCGGTGCTTTCTTGATCTTCGTTGGACAAAGGGCCTCCCTTGTCCACCAACAGGCCCCTGTCCTAATCGGCGGGGCGGGTGAATTTGCTTCGGGGCAATCCCTCGGTCTTGGCAGAGGGGCATTTTTTGATCTGACTGGTCACTGCGCCGCCTCCCGGCCTCGCTGAGGCTTCTTTAAGGATACCTGGATCCCCAGCATCTTGGCAAATTGATGGCTGCATTTCGCCCTGGCGCCCAACGAGGAGATGCTAGGGCTCCCATTGAAGCCTGCAGCTGGAGGGCGCCCCTGGAATCGAAGAACTGAAGTCCAACTCCCTGAGTTGGTGGACCCTCTAATAGTTTTTGGGTCAATACAAGTGGACTTCAATTGGGACCTTACTGTGGTAAATAAAACGTGTGGTTACTTTTTCTGGGCCACTCAGGAAGTGCGAGGGAGACCCTCCCGTCTCAAGCAAAACCCAACCTGGCGGTAGAGCTCGAATAAACTGCCTTCCCATACAGCACGAAGAGCCTCCATTTTTGTGCCTCAACTCTTCTGGTGTCATTCCATATTCTTTCCAGGTGCGTACAGGTGGCTCTTTGTCAGCCTGGTTAATTTTTGAAGGGTGAGGCAGCGAGGCATTGTTTCCTTTTCCATTCTTTTCAGCCATTGTTCTTTTCAACCGGATCCCTTCCCGCCAGGGTGTCTGGTGGTTTTCTAGAAAGATTCGGATCCCTGGGTTCAGAATGGAAATGGAAAAGCTCGCCCTAGAAACTTGGGGGCGCTCATTGCTTTGTACCATTGGCACCTGCGGCCTAGGCATGTGGAAGAAGGCCAAGGCGGGATGGCATTGATCAAAAAATTGCTCGTTGCCACCAGCGCCCTTCGGATCTTCGGCTCACTTCCCGAGTTCATGGTTTGGAAGCTTTGTGGGAAGCCCATTTTAGGCCATGCTGGGAAGCCCATTTTTGGGAAGCCCACTTTTTGGAACTTTAGTAGTAAATATCGAAAGTTCGGACTTTTTTTGGCCAATCCACGCGGGAACTGATGCATGTTATCCATGCTGCAAACCTTGGGCCGCCTGCAAAGCCATCCCTGCATTGAACTTTCCTCGGTGAGGTGGTGGCGGCAAACTATGACGGCACCTACGACCTGCAGCGCGGGGCCGAAGTAAATTAGTTCGGTTATTGTTTGCTTCCTGCGCCCTCCGGATCAGCAGAGCGGAGAGTGTCATTCTCAAGGGTGGGATTGGTTGAAAGTGCGACCGCCAACATTTTATATAGCTGGTTTTCATTCGTTTCGGAGCGGCACGCGGTGTGTAGCACCCGGGGGGTGGGTGGGTGACTGACTGCTTTGATTTGACAGCTCGAAGGCGACATCATCCTCAAAATCTGAGACGGGGTCTTGAGCACGAACACCGCGAAACAAAAAGCGAAATGTAGTTTTGACGGGCCCTTTTGGAGGTGGTGCGAGTTCGCCTGCGATTCGCGTGAATTGCGTTTCAGATCTTGGCACACGGTGACCGTTTCAGCAAACAGGTTCGAGATGAACCACGGGCCATACCGAGAACGGAGGAGCCGACTCGACACTGGGGTTGTCCATTTCCACTGGAGTGACAATTTTGGTGATGCTCTCCGATAGCCATCCCATGTCGCAAGTTTCCTCATTTTAACTCTGGTCACAACCAACATACAACTTCCAACAAAGATGGGCAGTCCATATTGCTTCAGTGGGCCAGCTAATCAGCAACCGAGAATTGTGCGAGTTTGCTTGGCAACCCTTGTCAAGCCTGTGTTCGACCAAAGAAGCAAAGCCACACAGCGTGCACACCTCGCAAGTGTCAACTTGTGTCACTTTGTAGCTCTTAGCTTGTCAGACAAAACACTTGGGGGACCAACATACCTGCATGCTGGTTCTCAGCAGGAATTCCCAACACCCGGTCTCGGTCATCTCCCTATCCTTGACTGCTATTGGGTTGGATCTTTAGACTTCAACTTGTTGGTTGAAATAAACATGTTTTCCTCTAAACCCCCCAAACAGTTAATTCTTCACTTTTTGGCGGGGGTCAAGAGCAAGCTAAGTATGGCAGCAAGACGTGCTTTGACTTCATTCGGTCCGCAAGTTGGAAGCGTCATGCAGGACCAAAGGCCACAAGCGCACGCCCACGCTGTCGCTGCGCCGGAACGAGCAGTTCAAGGGGCCGGGGGCTTGGGCGGGTTGAAGTGCGGACCCGAATCGCCGGGAGAGGGGGGGGGGACAAACATGTGAGACTTGCTGGTGCGAGAAGCAGGGAATGAGGGAATGAACCAGGGGGTCCCCTCAAAGAAAACCACATTCCGAATGAGTCGTTCCCTCCTTCCCTGCTGAGCACCAGCAAGGAAACCGGGGACGCCACATGTTAAACCACG